ACTGGCAAACATGCATGCAAGGTGGCTCTCCAAGTAGCTCTTGTGCTCCTTCGCTTCGGAAGCGGGATGACATTTCGTCAGCTGGGATTGCTTTTTGGCTTCTCACACGCGCATGCCCACACGATTGTGAAGGCCTGGGTCCGATTCAATGAAGACGTCCTCATGGCCGAATGGATTTTATGGTCTGATACAGACGAACTTGCTGCCTCGGAAGCAGACTTTAAATGGGACAGTGGGATCCCAGGGATAGTGGGTGCTATGGACGGCACATACATACACACCCGCGGTTCCGGACCACATGCGGAGGATTTTAAGAACCGTAAAGGCTTCTTCAGCATTATCCTACAACTACTCGTCGACGCCAACGGCCTTGTTTGGAGCATGTTAGCAGGCTGGCCGGGTTCGTGCAATGATTCGAATGTTTTCAATAATTCGAAAGCTAAACAAATGATTGAATGCGGAGGGATTGGCAACTACTGCATCGTCAGCGATGCGGCATACGGCCTTAAAAACTACATCTACGTGCCTTTCCGAGCCACCCCAGGCCAGCTACTGCCGGACGCGCAAGCCGTGTGGAACAAGCAGCAGTCGCGGGCGCGCATGATAGTTGAGCAAGTCAACGGGCGCTTAAAGACAAAATGGCGTATCCTAGACGCCAGAATGGAATGCCACCGTCGCCATGTGCCCGCCACGGTGGCGGCTGTGGTAACCCTGCATAACATAGAAATGGTGCTTGGCACAAGATACCGAATGGAGATGCCGTACCCGAGAAATAGATGGTGGCTTCAAGGACCGGCCGCCAGCCTTGCACATCACGGCATCGAAATCGCCGGATTCACTCCGACTTTGAGGCGGAATCGCTTTTCTGCTTTCCTTTATGCCTCTTGGCGTCTCGGGCATCCCGGGCTCTCTCGTCCTCTTCTCGGGTGCGTTCAAAAAACTGGGTCATTGTCGTTTGGATAGCGCTCGTTAACTCCTTCGTCATGAACCCACACATATCGTACATCATCTTCTCCTTGCCCTTACGTCGTCCCGGTCGCCCACTGTACTCAACATCGTGTTCACCCCCCAACATCCCAATCGCAGACGTCACACGCGCCCTCGCCGTGGTGCGTCCACTGCGGAGAGATCCACCCGGCTGAGCACCGAGGGATAGAGCGCCTGCGCGCGCGCGTGGCAAGGCTTGCTGACGAGGCGGAGTCGGCGTTGACGCCGCGGGGCGGGCTGGTTCAGGGCCCGTCGACCGTGAAGGCGAAGTGACGAGGGGATTGGCGACCGGCGGGGCGACCGCTGGTTCAGTAGCCTGCACTGTTGCAGGCACAGGTGAAACAAGGGAAAGTGACGGAGTTGAGAGGGAATTAATGTAATGGAGTTGAGAGGAAAGTCATGTTGTACTGGAGTTGAACAGGGTAACTTGTAATATCAAAGCACAACCATTTAAAACTCAGAATGCTTACCAGAGCGTACAGTAGACCCGGATGCGACTGGTGCAACTACGGTCGGGGTTCCGCCATGTTGCACGGCATAACCTGGACCGGTCGACGGTGGCACCACGCTATCGGCGATAGAGTCGGGCGCATCGTTGCACCCGGATGTTGTGTGCCCGCCATTCGCCGCAGATGGCACGGTGTTGGCCATCGTTGCAGTTGGGGTGCTTTCCACAGTTGTCTCTGGATTCACAGATTCGCGCGGTCGGAATATCGCGTCGGCCAGATCATACCACGCCGGACATCCATCCGCACGACCCTTGCCAGAGCGCTCTAAGAACTTGCTCCATCGAAGCCATGTGGCTTCCATGCGGCGGAGCTTCGGTCGGAGAGCGGAAACCGAGTGGCGCCTTCTCGGATTACGGGCGAGCAGGTTGCGATGCAGCTTGGCGTGCTGGCTCTGGCCTTGCATTCCGCGCATGTTATTCCAGTCATCGTGCATGTCGTGACGCTCCTGCATCAGAAGGAAATCCTCTTCCTTGGTCCATCGAGGCAAAGTGGTCCGGGTAGCGGTAGATATAGTCGCGGTCGCTGACTCCGTGTTAGTCCGTCCTATGTTTAGGTCAAGCTCCTCGTCGTCATTGGCGGAGCATATTTCGGGGGCCTCCTCGCCTACCCCGTAGTCATCGTTGATACCGTAAGGCGAGTCTGGGCGGGGTAGGTTGTTAATCCACCAGTCTGGATTACGATCCCACGGGTTAATGTGCTCACGGGAAGATTCCCTGACAGTTCTGATGGGTGGAGCTTGAGCAGCGTTGGTAGACTGTTGTGTATCTGGGCGGGTGCCTGGGGTGCCGCCATTGTCGCTAGACTGTGTGTTCATGTCGTTGCTATCCCTGTAAGCCATAATCTAGTTTTGCTTGGGTGAGTTTGGCAATGATCGTCATGTGTGACCCCGTGACGGAGTAGAACAATGTTCCGCAGTCAAGACGAGGTGGCGAGGCGCAGATTGGTCTTGCGTAAAATTGCACGTTTCGCTCTATACAAGTGTGACCCCGGAAAGTGGTCATGTTCAACGGGGCTGAACGTGCCGTGCGAGTCGTCCTTGTGACACGTCGAGTCAGTTGGGTATGTTGGCCAAGTCGCACAGGTACTGTATCGCTGACGAGTCGACAATGTGGTCGACTCGTGATTCGTTTGCACGTCGGAAAGTTGTCGACCGCTAAACCAGCTATCAAAGCGGCCATCAAAATTTTAGCAAGTGGCCGGATTGTGCGAAATTGACGAAATAACTTACAAATGTCGTGAATGTGTAACCTTCGCTAGATCCGGCCGGCCGGATTGATCCGGCCAACGGATCTGACGCACCCTAAGAGCGTCCAGCCACTGAGGCTAAAGCGGTACACCAGCAGCAGATACATATTGCCTAAAAACAGTACTCAGCTTGAGATTTCGGGGTATTATTTTGTTATTCAACACTCACAATTGCTTTTCGCAGCTTGAGAAAACAGTTACTATCAGAACATGTCTGACACCATAAGGGAACAGAGAACAAACACTGACTTGTTGAAACCAATCACAACACCAACTACAGCGAATAGCCTCACAGAAACTATCAGGGGTAGGAAGACTGGCAAGTCAGTTGGTGTTCCCTGATGCCTTGCCAGCATTCCTGCCCTTGATGCTTTGACCTATTAGAGCTACTGGAGCACGAACCAGACACCAAACCTATCCAGACACACATGGCTAAGAAGCCCTCGAGCCCATCACAACCACAACTGCAGCCTGCAAGGCTGGGTTCAAAACCCCCAAACCCCGCAGCACGGCAGAGGAGCATCAAGCAGCAGCAGCGGGCATCTTGGCGCCCATGAGCTGCCCGCCCCACGTCACACCTGCTGCGCTGCTGCCCGCCAGCACAGCATACCCACTCACTGCAGGCGCCTGCTGCGCTCCCCCCTGCTGCTGCCCCCCCTGCTGCTGCCCCCCCCTGCTTCTGCCCCCCCTGGTTCTGTCCCCCCTGCCTGGCAGCGCGGCCGAATGCGCCCATCAGCAGCTCACGCCCCATGCGCCTCCCGCCCTGCCCGTTCCGTGCGCCCCCCGCGCTGCCTCCGCCGCTGCGCCCGCTGCCGCTGGTGGGCGGAGGCGAGGCGGTGGGGAGCACGGCGAGCAGCGCGTCGAGGGTGGCGGCGTCCGCGTTCTCGAGGAACGCATCGAGGCGCGCCTCCGCGTGCAGCAGCCACCACCCCGTGCGCTGCTGCCAGTCCGCCGCGGCGAGTGGCAGCGCGAGCATGTCCGTCGCGGCGGCGTCGCACACGGCGCCCTTCACGATCGCCAGCGAGTTGGGCGGACCGCCCGCCGCGTCCACCAGCATCGCCTCGACGAGAAGGTTGTAGTTCCCGGTGGAATTCTTGAAGACGGCGAGGTGGAAGCTGCCGTTGAGGGTCTTCTGATCCACGGTGCAGTTGGCGAGCCGCGCGCCAACACCGGCCGTCAGATTCCCGACGGCCGTCAGGTTCAGCGGAGGCCCGTGCGGTCCGCCAGGCCCGCCGGGACCGTCGCGACCGCCGGGTCTGCCGGGGCCGCCGTTACCGCCAGGTCCTCCGCTTGCGCCCCCCGGTCGCTGACCGCCGGGAGGACCTCCGCCAGGCGGACCACGCTGCGCCAAGGCGGACGTCGACACGAGGAGGAGCACGCACGCGAGGACGAGCGCTCTGACTGCAGCCATGACTGGTGTCGTGCTTACAGATGATCAAAACGATTTAAATCTGGTTTCCTGCTGCTGGTTTAGAGTCTAGTTGAGGAAGCAGAGAGTTGTGAGGTACTGGTGTGAAATGCGAGGATTGTCGCTGACTACTTATACCAGCGTCAAATACCAGCTTTGTTTACGAGGAAAATGGGAGACTCGAGTCAAAAGTGGGAACCTGGGCTTCAGGTCTGGATTTCCGTCTGGTTCTGGTTTTCGCTGGCCCTGGTAGGTTAGTGGTCGAGGTTCGGAAGTTCCCACGCCGTACGCTGAGGTTCGAGTGTTCACCCTCGCCGACAGGGAGTTGAAAATGGGCGACGACATCCCACGCGTCAGTCAAAGCGTGGGAAAAGTAAACAGTGACGCGGAAAAAATGCCAGCACATTGGCTGCTGCGGTATGGAGTACAGTGCTTCTTGCAGAATGCTGGAGCATGCACAACGCTCTTATAGCCTCCTCATTGGCCATATTTTTCTAAACTTGGCCACAAGAAGGTTGTTGCGCACATGCGAAGATATTTGCCAAACAGCCTGCAACGCGGACGGGCCTCCAACCTAGCCGCGATTATTCCCTGCTGATTTACGCCAAAACCGGTAAGCCAGTTGCTAGTTCACTCCCAGTTCACGTTTTAGGGTTACGACCAAGTTTCAAGCATTCGACGGTCGTTTCTGACTACATCGTTTTCCTTAACGTCGCGCTTTGACCGTCTGTGTCACGTTGGCTGACCGTCTCACGACCGACTGTTTTCGTTGAGTGCATTGACTGCATATTCGCTGGACTCGTTTAGGCTTAAATTGACAGAGCAAAAGTCATTGCAACGAGACGCGCGATATGTCGCAAGCGCGGATATACGCGGACGTGAACGTGCAGCGGCCCAAGGAGTATTGGGACTACGAGGCGCTCACCGTGCAGTGGGGGTATGTCAAGTATCTAACCCCATTTTGGGTGCCGACTTTTTAATATCGCTTTTAAAGGGGTTTGTTTGACTACGAGGCGCTCACCGTGCAGTGGGGGTACGTCAACGGTTGCGCGATGAGAGTCTAATTTCCCGCCAAATTATTGCGGGACGTATCCCCGTCGTGTCGCTTCTCACGCTCCAATCTATGTCCGCCGTTAGTGATGCGTTTTGAAGTCCAATGTCATTGTTTACCACGCTCTCAAACTTCTAATTCGCATAAAACGCATCAGCCATTTCCGTCCGTGGACCTTTTTTTTTCACCTGAACTATGGAGTTCGTCTCATTGTCCTTAGATACACACGCGTCCCACAAGTCAATCCCCTATTTCTCCCTCTTCTAACCGAGCACGCAGGGGCCAGGACTTTTCATCTCCATTCATCTCCTCTCCCTCACCCCCCCCGCCCCGCACTACCGCCCCTTCCTTCTTCCCTTTTCCCCGCGACCAGAGCGACTACGAGGTGGTGCGCAAGATGGGGCGGCGCATGGTTCTCCTCTTACGTTTCCGGTCCCTCCCCATTCCCCACCCCCTCCCCACTTCCCCCCCATTCCCTTCACCCCCCATCCCCCACTTCTTCCGCCCTTCTTTTCTTCTCCCCCTAGCAGAGACCAGGACGACTACGAGGTGGTGCGCAAGGTGGGCGGGGAAACTACAGCGAGGTGTTTGAGGGGGTCAACGCGGTCAACGCGGTCAATGAGGCCAAACAATCCTGAACCCCCCCCCCCCCCCCCCCCTCCAATCTCGCAGCGACCAGGACGACTACGAGGTGGTGCGCAAGGTGGGGCGGGGCAAGTATAGCGAGGTGTTTGAGGGGGTCAACGCGGTCAACAGCGAGAAGTGCATCATCAAGATCCTCAAACCCGTCAAGAAGAAGAAGGTAAGTTGACTGATGGGTCAACGCGGCGGTCAACGCGGTCAACGCGGTTAACAAGGTCAACGCGGTCAACAGCGGGAAGTGCATAATCAAGATCCTCAAACCCGTCAAGAAGAAAAAGGTGAGAGTGGACTGACGGGGTCAAGGGGGGTCAACGCGGTCAACAGGGCCATCCCGCGTCCCCCATCCCTCCTCCAGTGCAACACCCACACACACATTAGATCAAGCGGGAGATTAAGATTCTGTAGAACCTGTGCAGGGGGGCCAACATCATCCGCCTGCTGGACATAACCTGCCCCCCTCGCCCATCCCCCATCCCCATCCCCATCCCCCATCCCCATCCCCCATCCCCCATACTCCCACTCCCATCCCGATCCCCTCATCCCCCATCCTTTCCCATGTGCAACACACACCAGACCAAAACGGTTGCAGAACCTGTGTGGTGGTGGTGGTGGGGTGGGGTGGGGTGGGCCCAACATCTCCCCCTGCTGGACATCGTGCGCGACCCTTCCTCCTCGTCCCACCCCCCGCATAACCTGTTTCATTCGCCCCTCTTCCCCTTCCCTCACCATCAGATCAAGCGGGAAATCAAGATCCTGCAGAACCTGTGCGGCGGCCCCAACATCATCCGCCTGCTGGACATCGTGCGCGAGCGATTCACAAAGCAAGACGCCGTCGCTCATCTTTGAGCCCTCTCCCCGTATCCCTTCTCACTCCAACCGCCACCAGATCAAGAGAGAAATGAAAATTCTGCAGAACCTGTGCGGCGGCCCCAACATCATCCGCCTGCTGGACATCACCCGCCCTCCCTCATCCCACATCCCATCCTCCATTCCTCCCCGTATGCACTCACCATCAGATCAAGCGAGAAATTAAGATTCTGCAGAACCTGTGCGGCGGCCCCAACATCATCCGCCTGCTGGACATTGTGCGCGACCCGCAGAGCAAGACGCCGTCGCTCATCTTTGAGTTTGTGAACAACACCGACTTCAAAGTGCTCTACCCCACGCTCTCTGATTACGACATCCGCTACTACATCTACGAGCTGCTCAAGGTGTGCTGAATGGGTGTGTGACCATGCTATGTGATCACGTCGTGTGATGTGACCATGTTTTTGTATGCCTGTGTCTCTGTTCGCAGCACTTGAGTCAAAGTGCTCTACCCCACGCTCTCTGATTACGACATCCGCTACTACATCTACGAGCTGCTCAAGGTGCGCTTGTGGGGCTGTAGGCGTGACTGGAGGGGCACTGGAGGGGCACTGGAGGGGCACTGGAGGGGCACTGGAAGGGCACTGGAAGGGGCACTGGAGGGGCACTGGAAGGGCACTGGAAGGGGCACTGGAGGGGCACTGGAAGGGCACTGGAAGGGGCACTGGAAGGGGCACTGGAGGGGCACTGGAAGGGCACTGGAAGGGGCACTGGAGGGGCACTGGAAGGGCACTGGAAGGGCACTGGAAGGGGCACTGGAAGGGGCACTGGAGGGGCAGTGGAAGGGGCAGTGGAAGGGGCAGTGGAAGGGCAGTGGAAGGGGCAGTGGAAGGGCGTGTGACCATGTGCTTGTGTCTGTGCCTCACCGTGCGCTTCATTCCCTGTGTTCCCTTCCCTTCCCATCCTGCCCCGCCAGGCTTATCACTTCTGCCACTCAAGCTAATCATTCATGAGGATGTGAAGCTTCTCCCTTCAACCCTCAAGTTCCCTTCTCCTCCCTTCCCATGCGTGCGCCCCACCAGGCGTTGGACTTCTGCCATTCACAGGGCATCATGCATCGGGACGTGAAGCCACATAGTGTGATGATCGACCACGAGCAGAGGAAGCTGCGCCTCATGCATACACCTCCACTCCCAATGCTCCCTGGCATCACAACTCCACATACCCCACTGCCAGGCGTTGGACTTCTGCCATTCACAGGGCATCATGCACCGGGACGTGAAGCCGCACAACGTGATGATCGACCACGAGCAGAGGAAGCTGCGCCTCATCGACTGGGGCCTGGCGGAGTTCTACCACCCCAACAAGGAGTACAACGTTCGGGTGGCATCTAGGTACGGTGTACTGTGTGCACGCATGTGATGCATCTTGGAATGCCTAGGCAGGCTCATTGACTGGGGGCTCGCCGAGTTCCACCACCCCAACAAGGAATACAACGTTCGCGTTGCGTCCAGGTCAGTCAGTGGTTGTGCTACGGCAGTGTGGCAGTGACTGTTCTGTTCTTAGTGCGTGAAGGCATGAGCAGACGAAGCCGCGCCTCATTGACTGAGGGCTGGTGGAGTTCCACCACCCCAACAAGGAGTACAATGTTCGGATGGCGTCGAGGTCAGTCAGTTCTGTTGCGACACGGTACGCACGCACGCTGTACCGCGTGCAGCGCGCGCACGCTTGTGATGCACCCTGGAATGCCTTGCCTCATCGACTGGGGGCTGGCGGAGTTTCACCACCCCAACAAGGAATACAATGTCCGGGTGGCGTCGAGGTCAGTCAGTTCTGCGACACGGTACGCACACACGCTGTACCGCGTGCAGTGCAGTGCACGCATGCGATGCACCCGGAATGCCTAGACTCATTGACTGGGGGCTGGCGGAATTCTACCACCCCAACAAGGAGTACAACGTTCGCGTGGCGTCCGTCCAGGTATCGTGTACTGTACGGTATGCAGGCATGGCATGTGGCACATCTTGGTATGCCTGGGTGGGTGCAGTGCAGTGTAACTGAGGGCTGACAGAGTTGTTGTTTGTACTGTCTGTACCATCCCAGCAAGCAGTACAGCGTGCGCGTGGCGTCCAGGTGCGCGGAGCTGTATGGCGTGCAGGAAGGAACGTGACGCATCATGAAGGTGGTGCACGGTGGTGAGTGAGTCAGCATCATGAAGGTGTTTGCGTCTCTTCGTGCTCCCCTCCCCTCCCTATCCCCGCAGGTACTTCAAGGGTCCCGAGCTGCTAGTGGACCTGCAGGATTATGACTACTCGCTGGACATGTGGAGCCTTGGCTGCATGTTCGCTGGCATGGTGAGACTCGGGTTGGGGGCTTGGTGAGATCACTGAGCCGTGAGCACGGATCATGAGGTGCATGCGTGTACACAACAGACGTACAGGACTATGATTACTCGCTGGACATGTGGAGCCTTGGCTGCATGTTCGCTGGCATGGTGAGCCATGGGGGGCGTGGTGAGAGCATGGAGCATGATGTGCATGCACGTAAGCACTGGAGTGGACCTACAGGACTGCGATTACTTGCTGGACATGTGGAGCCTTGGCTGCATGTTCGCTGGCATGGTGGGTGGGTGTGGGTGCATGGTTTGTATGGTGTGGGGAGGGACATGGTGGGGGTGTGGAACATGGAGGGTGTGGTGTACGGGTCATGATGAGCCGTGGATGCATGTACAGAGTATATTTAGAGCGGACTGTGGCTGTTGTCCGAGTGGGTCTATATAAACCAGCATTACTCTTCTACCTTCTCCCCCTCCTATCCCCCCCCGCTCCTCTCATTTCCCACTGTCAAAGATGCTTGTTCCTTTCCTTGACCCATACATGTGCTGCTCACATACCCCGCAACAAACCCCTGTTGATGCCCACTATTGTCCATCACCATCATCTCCGACACCCCACCCCCACCCCCTCTTTCCGTTCACTTCACTCTGCCCCTGCCCGTCCCTTCTCTCCCCATACCCCAGCCCCATGCCCTGTGCCCCATGCCCTGTGCCCCATGCCCTGTGCCTCGTGCCCTGTGCCTCGTGCCCTGTGCCTCGTGCCCTGTGTGTGCCCTCAGATATTCCATAAGGAGCCCTTCTTCTACAGCCACAGCTGACCATTACATCACCTCCTCTCACCCTCCCTTTCCCGCATTTCTGTGAATCTCGCCCGTCTCTCCATTCACTCTCCCCTGTGCGTGCGCGCAGATATTCCGCAAGGAGCCTTTCTTCTACGGCCACGACAACTACGACCAGCTTGTCAAAATCGCCAAGGTGCGAAGCTCTTGGCGCCTCAGAAAGCAGGGGCGACTGACGGACTGACTGAGACTGACTGACTGAGTCACGCAAACCTGTCGCACGTGCACAGTGGGGCAAGGCCTGGCAGTCCGACCTGTTCCTCCTGGCTGGTTTACCCCCGATCATGACCATCACCGGGATGATCACTTTTGGCTTTTCAGATCTAGGGATGAGCAAGTGGCGAACACGAACGTGTTCGTGTTCGCCCCTACACGAACACCTTCGTTTGCCGAACCGAACTCTGTTCGGTTCGGCGAACACTTTGAGCAAAAAATGGTGTTTGCCGTTCGCCTGTGAAGGCGTGTTCGGGCGAACCTCGAACACTGTTCGTGTTCGTCGCGGGCAAATTGCAGCAGCGGCCCGAACACGAACGTGTTCGGGCGAACATCGAACACTGTTCGGCGAACATTTTAAGCCAAAAAAAAAAACCTGTTCGGTTCGCCTCGAACACGTTCGAGGCGAACCGAACAGGTGTTCGTTTTTTTGCTCAACCCTATTCAGATCTCCACCGTCCAAGCTGTGGGCTGTGAGCATCATCGATTCTTGTGAGGAATCTGTTTCTTTCAGAGTCTCAGTGACATGCTTGGCTTGGCAGGAAATCAGTGCTCCGCACATCCCTTCCATATGCTTCGCTCCCTAAAACCCCTTTCCTGATCCCGATCGTTCCACGTCGCCACGTCTCATCATCCCACTCTCAGGTCCTGCGAACGGACGAGCTGAACAGCTACCTGGGCAAGTACAGCATCATGCTGGATGGACCCTCGTCTTTACCACCCCTCACTGTAGTCGTTGTTTGCCTCACCTATCATCATCCTACATGCAGGTGCTGGGCACAGACGAGTTGAACAGCTATCTGGGCAAGTACAGCATCATGCTGGATGGACCTTCGTCTTTACCACCCCTCACTGTAGTCGTTGTTTGCCTCACCTATCATCATCCTACATGCAGGTGCTGGGCACGGACGAGTTGAACAGCTATCTGGGCAAGTACAGCATCATGCTGGATGGACCCTCGTCTTTACCACCCCTCACTGTAGTCGTTGTTTGCCTCACCTATCATCATCCTACATGCAGGTGCTGGGCACGGACGAGTTGAACAGCTACCTGGGCAAGTACAGCATCATGCTGGATGGACCCTCGTCTTTACCACCCCTCACTGTAGTCGTTGTTTGCCTCACCTATCATCATCCTACATGCAGGTGCTGGACACGGACGAGTTGAACAGCTATCTGGGCAAGTACAGCATCATGCTGGATGGACCCTCGTCTTTACCACCCCTCACTGTAGTCGTTGTTTGCCTCACCTATCATCATCCTACATGCAGGTGCTGGGCACGGACGAGTTGAACAGCTATCTGGGCAAGTACAGCATCATGCTGGATGGACCCTCGTCTTTACCACCCCTCACTGTAGTCGTTTTTTGCCTCACCTATCATCATCCTACATGCAGGTGCTGGGCACGGACGAGTTGAACAGCTACCTGGGCAAGTACAGCATCATGCTGGATGGACCCTCGTCTTTACCACCCCTCACCGTAGTCGTTGTTTGCCTCACCTATCATCATCCTACATGCAGGTGCTGGGCACGGACGAGTTGAACAGCTATCTGGGCAAGTACAGCATCATGCTGGATGGACCCTCGTCTTTACCACCCCTCACTGTAGTCGTTGTTTGCCTCACCTATCATCATCCTACATGCAGGTGCTGGGCACGGACGAGTTGAACAGCTATCTGGGCAAGTACAGCATCATGCTGGATGGACCCTCGTCTTTACCACCCCTCACTGTAGTCGTTGTTTGCCTCACCTATCATCATCCTACATGCAGGTGCTGGGCACGGACGAGTTGAACAGCTACCTGGGCAAGTACAGCATCATGCTGGATGGACCCTCGTCTTTACCACCCCTCACCGTAGTCGTTGTTTGCCTCACCTATCATCATCCTACATGCAGGTGCTGGGCACGGACGAGTTGAACAGCTACCTGGGCAAGTACAGCATCATGCTGGATGGACCCTCGTCTTTACCACCCCTCACCGTAGTCGTTGTTTGCCTCACCTATCATCATCCTACATGCAGGTGCTGGACACGGACGAGTTGAACAGCTATCTGGGCAAGTACAGCATCATGCTGGATGGACCCTCGTCTTTACCACCCCTCACTGTAGTCGTTGTTTGCCTCACCTATCATCATCCTACATGCAGGTGCTGGGCACGGACGAGTTGAACAGCTATCTGGGCAAGTACAGCATCATGCTGGATGGACCCTCGTCTTTACCACCCCTCACTGTAGTCGCTGTTTGCCTCACCTATCATCATCCTACATGCAGGTGCTGGGCACGGACGAGCTGAACAGCTATCTGGGCAAGTACAGCATCATGCTGGACCCGCATCTGGAGGCGCTGGTGGGGCGGCACAGCCGCAAGCCGTGGTCCAAGTTTGTCAACAGTGACAACCAGCACCTTGTCTCCCCTGAGGTATGCTGTTTGGGATGTTTGGGGTGTTTGGGGTGATTTTTAAGACGGTTCAAAGCTGGTGGGGCAGCACAGCCGCAAGCCGTGGTCCAAGTTCGTTAACAGCGACAACCAGCACCTTGTCTCACCCGAGGTATGCTGTATGTTGCATGGGCCATTGCCCACATCCCCCCTGTGCCTTCTTCCATCCACCCCTGCCTTCTCCCCATCCGCCCTTGCCTTATCCCTTATCTCTGTGTCTCTTTTCTTCTCATTGCTGTCGCTCATTCCCGCTGGTTGCCGCCTACTCCCTGCAACACGTGGTGGGCAGGCGGTGGACTTTCTGGACAAGCTGCTGCGGTACGACCACCAGGACCGACTCACAGCCAGAGAGGCCATGGTGAGTGGTGCTCACGGGGTTGATAAGGGGTTGGTAAGGGTTGATAAGGGGTTGATTAGGGAGGGGTGTGAAGTTCTGGACAAGCTGCTGCAGTACGACCACCAGGACCAACTCACAGCCAGAGGGGCCATGGTGGGTGAAGTAGAGGGGCCTTGATGGTGCTGGTGTAAGGGGTTTGGTGCTGGTGATGTGGAGGTGTGACATTGATGTAATGTGCCTGGCTGAGCTGTTGAGCTGCTGCAATACCACCACCAGGACCGGCTCACAGTGGTGGATGCCATGGTGGGTGTGCTGAGTCATTCAGTGAGGCTGTTAGTGAAGGGGGTGGATGCAGTGTGGATAAGGCTGGGCTGTTGAGTTTCTGAATGTGTCTAGTGGCCAGGTGGTGGGTGGTGTAGAAGCCATGTTAAGTTGTGTAGAGAGGCTAGAGTGGTCACTCTGTGTCTGATTTTTCCCTTCCACTCTTTTAATATTTCCCAATCTGAAGCACCTAATCTTTCTGTGTCTCATTTCCATTTTCTCTTTGTCTCGTGTCCTTGTGCAGGCGCATCCGTATTTCTACCCTGTGCGGCAACAGGAGGCACAGGCAGGCAGGCATAACTAGTGGCCCGTCGCACGGGATTGCCCACAGCTGGCATGATGCCATGCCATTATTGTTTGATAATATTTGTCAAATAACAACAATAAGGTCACTGAATTTGTTATTGTTCTCCAAAAGAGTTTATAACAAATATTTATCCTTTAGAACAAGGCTTGACTCTTTCCGCGTTCATCTGCGGGTGATGCATGCACCGCGTCAAGATACATGCGCCTCCAGCCCGCGTTCACTTTTGTCCCGCGCCCGCGTATTCGCTGGCACCTCGGTTTTGCCGCACGAGTCTGTTGGCGCAGCCGGAAACTGCTGTGGGCTGTTGAGGGGAAAATGGCTGAACTCCGCGCGGAAATGCTGCGTCCGCATGCCCGTGCTTCTTCCCCGCCCACTCCCCCCCTCTCCCCCTTCCATCTCCACCCCCCAGCTTCCCAGCTATTGCCGACCTTCTAGATTCTCCCACACCCTATCCGCCCGTAGTTCTATCAACTCGTGTTTACAACACTATTCGCCGTAACTCGCAAGCTAGTTATGGCTGCTCCCGCCGCCTCCTTGAGCGCGTCGCAGCATCTTTGCCGCCTTAATCTCACAAGTCCGGCTGCGGTAACCCGCGGTAACGTGCGCGAGCTCAGGGCTGCGCCAGTGCGCGGGAAGGGGCTGAAGGCGAGTGCACGTGGAAGCGATCGGCGGAAGGCAGCAGCAGCAGCGGGAAGGAGCGCGCGATTGGGGTGCCGTGCGATGGCGAGCGAGGTGAGCGACGGCTGGCGACGACGGCTGTGCTGTGCGACGTGAGCGATTGCGACGATGCATGTAGATGACTAGTACCAGCGACCCACCATCTGCCTTCCGTGAATCTCGTCTCTCAAATTTCGACTCACCCTCGCGCGCCTCGTGTTTTCCCCCTCTTCCCGCCCTCGCCGCTCTCCCCGCCCTCCCTGCTCTCCCCGCTCTTCCGGCTCTCCCCGCTCTCCCTGCGCTCCCTGCACCCTCCCTGTTCTCCGCGTTCTCCGCGTTCCCCGCGATCCCCGCGTTCCCCGCATTCCCCTCGCTTTCGCACTCCCCGCGTTCTCCGCGCTCCGCGCTCCTCTGCGACTTTCATCCCCCCCAGGGCGGTTCCGCCACAACCGTTTCAGCGCCCTCCACGGCCACGCAGCTTCCCGACCTCATGGTATGACGTGGCATGCCTGACGTGGCATACTGGGTTCGACGTGGCACGGATAGGAATGGCGTGTAGATCACTACGCACACGGCCCTCACAAGCAGGTCGTGTCAAATCGTTTTGCTGCAAGAAACTTGAGAGTCGTTTTTCTCGTGAATCCTCAAGAGTGCTGCGAGACGCGTTAGCTGTTGTCAGCCAACGAATGTTAGCTTTCTTTGAGGCGCCTCAAAATGACGATTTTCGATAGCAATGATTTTACCGATGCGTTTGTTGACGGGTCGTAAAAAAAAGTGTTTCTCTCTCTCACTGCCCTTCCGCCACACCCCCCCCCTCCTCCCCCCCCACCCCCCACCACTCAACCCCGCAGTCTCGCTGAGTCAATATCCTTGTGCTTCCTATGCCTCTCCTCCCTTCATCCCCCAATTTCTCTCCCTCCTCCGACCCCGTCCCTCCGTTCCTGCCCTCCTCCCTCCCTTCCTCCCTCCCTTCCCTCTCCTCCCCTTGGTCCCTCGCGCCGCAGACTGAGTGCAGGGTGGGCATAACCTGCCAGAGCTGCGTATAAGCCGCGGAGCATAACCTACCGGGAGGAAGGGCATGGTGCTCCCGGGAGCTGCGTCATAACATGTCCCGGGCCTCACCCCCCTTGCTCCATCATGGAGCTCTGTGTTCCCCATGCCCTTCCTCCCGCCCAGCCTCACCCCCTTGCCCTCCTCTCCCCTCCTCTCCCCCCTCCTCGTCTCTCACAGACGGAGTTCATGGTGGACATGTCGTGCTAGAGCTGCGTCAAGAACGTTGTGCTCCCCTTACTTCTCCCTCCTTCCTCCCTTCTCTCCCTCCTTCCTCCCTTCTCTCCCCCCCTCTCCTCCTCACCCTTGGTCTCTCACAGGCCGAGTTCATGGTGGACATGTCGTGCCAGAGCTGCGTCACGAGCGATGTGCTCCCCATGTCGTCCGTAGCGTATCATACCACTTAACTCTTCCCCCCCCCCTGCCCCTGTCTCGCCTTGCAGACGGAATTCATGGTGGACATGTCGTGCCAGAGCTGCGTCAGAACAGTGTGCTCCCCATACCTCCCCTCCCTACCTCCCTTCCTCCCTTCCTTCCCCCCCTTCCTCTCCGCACCCTCGTCTCTCCTCGCAGACGGAGTTCATGATGGACATGTCGTGCCAGACTGCGTCAAGAACGAACGCTGTGCTCCCCACCCATACCTCTCCTCCCTTCCTCCCTTCTTTTCCCTCCTCCCCTCCCTCCCCTTCTCCATCGCCCGCATCAGACCGAGTTCATGGTGGACATGTGCTGCCAGAGCTGCATCAAGAACAGTGTGCTCCCCGTGCATTCTCCTTCCCCACTTCCTCACCCCTCTCCGCCCCTCCCCTCATGCCTATCAGACGGAGTTCATGGTGGACATGTCGTGCCAGAGCTGCGTCAAGAACGTGCGGGGGAAGCTGGAGCCTCTGGAAGGTGAGTGGGATGGGAACCATTGGGATGGGGCGGTGGGCGCCACCTCCCCATGCCTCTCCTCCCTCTGGAATGGAAGGTGAGTGTGTGAACCATTGGGATGGGGCGGTGGGCTGGAATCTCGGAAGGAGGAATGGTATGGCAGGGGTTTTATAAAAAATAGCATGTATACATGATGGGAGTTTTATCTTGGAGTAGAATAGCACATAAGCTGAGATATAGTGGAATGGAATGGATCAACAGGTGCGTGCGCCTCATAAGCACAATTCCGGGGAGGCGCACGCACTTGTGGAATAGAATAGCTCATAAGCCGAGATATAGTGGAATGGATCAACAGGTGCGCTTCCCTGGAATTGTGTCTCTGGCGCGAGCATATAGATAGGTGAGAGATATGGTGTGTCCGCATGATTTTTGAGGCGCCTAAAAAAAATCTTCCCTGGAATCGTGTCTGGCGCGAGGATAAAGATAGATGAGAGATATGGTGTGTCCGCACCGCATGGGCCATGGCTGCTGCACTGGGCGTGTGAGGCGCTTCAACAGTACGCTTGTCCTCTCGACTGCTGCGTGTTTTGCCTTGATATTCGGCCTGCTTTTGCAAGCCCGGAGCTTGAGTTGCTGGCCTTGCAGAGGGTGTGTCTGTTGGGTTGCCCCACCCTCGCCCAGCCCACCTTGGTCTTCCGTCCCTTACCAGGCAGGCAGCAAGGTGGTTGAATTTTGAGTCGACTCAAAAGTCACATCCTTACCAGGCAGCAAGGTGGTTGAATTGAATCTCGCAGGTGGTCGATTTTTTAGTCGACTCAAAAATCGACTTACTACACCCACTCTCGCCCACCTTTGTCTTCCGTCCCGTCCCTTACCAGGCAGGCAGCAAGGTGGTTGAATCTCGCAGGTGGTGCGATTTCTCGGAAGTGCCACGCTAGCCCGTCCCCCTCCCTCACTCACTCCCTCACACTCCTCACTCCCCTCGCTTCCCTCACCCTCTCTCACCGCTGCTCCCTCCCTCTATCCCTCAATTCCTCTTCATGTTGGGCAGTGCCACGCTGGTCCGTCCTCCTCCCCCTTCACTTCCTTCATCCCCCCTCTCCCTCTCTCGCCATCTCCCACCAGGTGTCAAGCTGGTGGACATCAGTCTGGAGTCGCAGGTGGTGCGTGTGTTGGGGAGCGCCACGCTAGCCCAGCTGGAGGAGGCGTTGAAGAAGAGCGGCCGCAAGGCGCGGCTGATCGGCCAGGGCGACCCGTCGCGTGAGTGATTGTGAAGGCCATGGGTGTGCAAGTGTGTGGAGGGCTGTTGCATGAGTCAACTCTCACTGAAGCGAGGTTCACATGGGTGTGCGAGTGTGTGGAGGGCTGTTGCATGAGTCAACTCTCACTGAAGCGAGGTTCACATGGGTGTGCAAGTGTGTGGAGGGCTGTTGCATGAGTCAACTCTCACTGAAGCGAGGTTCACATGGGTGTGCAAGTGTGTGGAGGGCTGTTGCATGAGTCAACTCTCACTGAAGCGAGGTTCACATGGGTGTGCAAGTGTGTGGAGGGCTGTTGCATGAGTAAACTCTCACGGGGCCATGGTGTTGGGGAGTGAGTGCCACGCTAGCCCAGCTGGAGGAGGCGCTGAAGAAGAGCGGCCGCATGGCCCGTCTCCTGAGTGATGGTGAAGGGCATATGTGTGGATCAGCCGTCTGACATAGTTCTCAGCGAGCAGCAGACTAGATCTGGGCTTACAAGATAGACTGTGTTTAAAAACGCCTGTACTACTAGATCTCAACAGATTCCGAGCTCAACGCTCTGCAGTGCAACCACCAAATAGCACCTCCCGCGCCCTCACCCGTGTCGCCCCTCACCCGCGTCTCCCCTCACCCGTGTCCTCCCCTGGCGTCCTCATCCCTCTCTTCCTTCCGCTTTCCTCTTCTCTGTCCATCCGTCCCTCCCTTCGACCCCTGAGCTGGTTCGCACAACAGCAATGGGTGGCCTTTAAGGCCCCTCTGGTTCGCTTCCATCTCTTACCTTCCTCTCGTTCTCTCTCCTCTCGTCCTCCTCCCTCATCTGCTCTTCCTCTTTTCCGTCCATCCATCTCTCCCTGTTACACCAGAGCTGGCCCTCACAGCAGCAGTGGCGGAGTTCAAGGGGCCGGTGATCCACGGTGTAGTGCGGTTCGCCCAGGTGAGGCGGGCCGTCTTTTAGACTGCCTGAGCGGGCTGAGAGCATGGGACCTCGAGCCCTGTGAGGCGGCTATTGTTCTTAAGGCCCAGCTAAGGGGTGACTTTTGAGTCGACTCAAAAGTCACCTCGTTTTGAAGGCCCAGCTAAGGGCATGCTACGGATCCAACTTACTGATCAGGCTGACTTGACTGACCGCTTTGTGACATGAAATGCGTCTTGTAAGCGGAGAACACTGGAGCTTTTCATTTCATTCAAGGGGGGCAAAGTTAGCTGTTTCACAAGTCACCTCAAAGTCATACCGACCCACATAGTATTGTTTTTATCCATATGAGTAACTCTGCTGCCCCTCCCCCTCTCCCTTCCCCGCCCATCTCTCCCCCCTGTCACGCCCATTCCTATCCAATCCACCTCCCCTCAAGTGAGCGTGGGGTTGGTGCGTGTGAAGGCGGTGTTTGAGGCGCCTCAAAAGTCGTGTGGAGCGGTGGCCTGGCCAGGCAGAAGCTGCACCTGTATCACTGCCACCCCCTTCCTCCTTCCCCCCCCCTTCCCCCCACCTCCCCCTCCCCTCCTCCCTCCCCCAGGTGAGGCGCACGGAGGACGTGCGCATGGAGGCTCAGTTGGGTGGCAGGGCAGGACATGGGGCCTCACAGGGACCACGCAGTTGGGTGGCAGGACATGGGGCCTCAGAGGGACCACGCAGTTGGGTGGCAGGACATGGGGCCTCAGAGGGACCACGCAGTTGGGTGGCAGGACATGGGGCCTCAGAGGGACCACACAGTTGGGTGGCAGGACATGGGGCCTCAGAGGGACCACGCAGTTGGGTGGCAGGACATGGGGCCTCAGAGGGACCACGCAGTTGGGTGGCAGGACATGGGGCCTCAGAGGGACCACGCAGTTGGGTGGCAGGACATGGGGCCTCAGAGGGACCACACAGTTGGGTGGCAGGACATGGGGCCTCAGAGGGACCACGCAGTTGGGTGGCAGGACATGGGGCCTCAGAGGGACCACGCAGTTGGGTGGCAGGACATGGGGCCTCAGAGGGACCACGCAGTTGGGTGGCAGGACATGGGGCCTCAGAGGGACCACACAGTTCTGTCGCCGCCTTTGCTTGTACCACTGGCTTCTCATGCCTTTGCTTGTACCACTGGCTTCTCATCCCTTCTCCCCCTCTCCCCCCCTCTCCCCCCCTCTCCCCCCCTCTCCCCCCCCTCTCCCCCACCAGTTGAGCATGGAGGAGGTGCGGGTGGAAGCGATTAGCATGCAGAAACTGTAACACCTCCAACGTCCTTCCCGCTCCCCGCCCTCCCCTCCCCCCCCCCCGCTCCCCTCACCAGGTGAGCATGGAGGAGGTGCGGGTGGAGGCGCAGTTTGACGTCCTCGCGCCCTCGACTGCCCATGCATGGGCTGTCAACGAGAGTGCCACCCAGTGTATGTATGTACCATTGCCTTCCCTCCCCTCCCCCCACCAGGTGAGCACAGAGGAGGTGTGGGTGGAGGCGCAGTTTGATGGCCTCTCCCCCTCCACCGCCCATGCATGGGCTGTCAACGAGTATGGGGACCTCACCCGACCCGAGTGTCACCATTGAGTGTCACCATTGCATGTACCATTGCCATATCTCCCCCTCTCCCTCCTTCCACTCTCCCCCCCCCCCCCCGCGCCCGTCTTTTTCCTCCCAGGTGAGCATGGAGGAGGTGCGGGTGGAAGCGCAGTTTGACGGCCTCTCCCCCTCCACCGCCCATGCGTGGGCTGTCAACGAGTATGGAGACCTCACGCGCGGCGCTGACAGCACCGGCAGGTGCCATCCAGGGGAGGCGCCATCTGCTGCTGTTGCTGCTGATGGGGTACGTACATTGCAGCAGGAACAATAGTTCAGCTAGTTGTTGGGTGCTTCTTGGGGAAGGCGTCAACTGCCACTGCTACTGATGCTGGGGTACTTTCAGAGTGTAGACTAGTTTTGAGGAGACTCAAAACTAGTGCTGCTGATGATCGGGTACTTTCGGAGTGTAGACAGACTGTTCAATGCGGTGCCCAGCTGTTGCGGGTCCCGCCCATATCCTCTCCTTTTTCTCCTTCCCTCTAATTCCTCCGTTTTTCACCCCTCCCCTTCACAGCCCGCCCGCAGCTTGGGTGTGCTACAGGCAGACTGCAAGGGCCATGCTGCCAATGCAGCGCGCAGCACGTGCCTCAAGGTTCATAGGCTGGGCCGTGGGTCATGTCATGTCATGTCCCCTACCCTCCCTCTACCCTCCCCTCCTTTCCGCACTATCCCTTCACAGCCCGCAGGTGACTTGGGCGTTCTGAACACAGACGACAAGGTCCATGCGTCCTACGCAGCCCCCAGCACGCGCCTCAAGGTGTGGGACCTCATCGGCCGGGCCACCTGTGGTCTTGCCCCTCTCCACTCTCCCCGGTTCATCCTTGTTCTCCCCTCCCCTCTCTCTACTCTCCCCTCCTTTCCCCACTATCCCTTCACAGCCTGCAGGCGATCTGGGAGTTCTGAACACGGACGACAAGGGTCATGCCTCCTATGCAGCACCCAGCACGCGCCTCAAGGTGTGGGACCTCATAGGCCGGGCCGTGGCGGTGTATGACGGGGCTGACAGGAGCAGCAGCAAGGGGCTGGCAGCAGCGGTGATCGCGCGCAGTGCAGGAGTGGGGCAGAACTACAAGTCGCTGTGCTCCTGTGATGGCACCATCATCTGGGAGGCCACTCCCAGCGACTATGTGCAGCAGAAGTAGAGCTTCTGGAGTATGGTAGATTTGATGTGGGGCAGGTTCTTTTGTTAGTGTATGTTGTTGACTATTACTGTTTTATGCATGCAACTCTGTACAACATGAGTTAGATATGTTAGGCTGAAAAAGCCCTTAGGATCTTTGCAGGGGTGAACTATGGGTAGAGTTGGTGTAGCAGCGGAAGCGTTAATTAAGAAGTTGTGAACCACCTTGCGCTAGTATGTTAGGGCAAAGTAAGTTGATTAAAACAAAAGGATACAAGATTATATAAGAGTACAAGGAATATGAAAGGATACAGTTATAACTGTTTTACTTGTTGCTGTTACGGTTCGATACAGTGACGACTCGGGCAACTGCTCTGTAGCGAGTCAGTTGTGTGTCCTTGCTGTCACGCTGTATTTGCCAAGTCAAAGGTCGCTGACCTTTGACTTTCGCGTAACCTCCAGCGATTACTTCAACCTCCGAGGGTTGACTCGCTGGTGCCTCGGTATGCTTTGCTTCGCTTGTGCCTTAGTGTTTCGACACGACAGAAGCGCTTAGGACCGATTGTTTCCAACCCTCCCCTTCGCTTCTGGAGTGTCGCTGACGTGGCTCTGTCCAGTCAGCAGCATGCAGTATTCGAACTTATGCTTTCCAAGCTTCTTGGTCAGGTAGTCAGCTGCCATCTCGGACGTGGGGCAGTATGACAGCTCGAGCCTTCCTTTTTCGATCTCGTTCTTCACGAAGAAATATCGCAGGGCGATATGTTTCGTCCTGTTCGCGAAGCCGTTCTTGTTGGCGATGCGAATTGCCGATTGGTTGTCGCAGAACAGGGTAAAGTTGGGTAACTCGGCTAACTTCGCTTCTTCCAGCAGCTCTCGAAGATAGAGTCCTTCCTTGGTGGCTTGTCAGAACATTATAGCTTATGCTTTTGTGTAGGCTATAGTGGGGTATCCCATAGGGGGTACAACCCAATTAGGGTTTCCTATGTGTACTCACTTCATTCATAGTTCATCCATTCTCGTTTCAGTTTTCTCATGGTATCGAGCAGGTTCCCTCGTGGGAACTGTTCCTAGGGCCCACCGTTTTTTTTCCTGCCCGGAGCGCACTCAGCCCCTGCCCGAGTTGCGCTCCCCTCTCTCTCGGCCCCTAGTGGCCCCTTTAGCCGCCCGTCCCGGCCCGTCGACGCCCGTACGCCGCCCGTCCCTGCCCCACGCCGCCGTGCGCCGCCCGTCCCGGCCCCGCGCTGCTGCCCCGGCCCGTCGACGCCCGTGCGCCGCCCGTCCCGGCCCCACGCCGCCCATGCGCCGCCCGTCCATGCCCCACGCCGCCGTCCCAGCCCCACGCCGCCCGTGCGCCGCCCGTCCCGGCCCCACGCCGCCCGTGCGCCGCCCGTCCCGGCCCCACGCCGCCGTGCGCCGCCCGTCCCGGCCCCGCGCTGCTGCCCCGGCCCGTCGACGCCCGTGCGCCGCCGTCCCGGCCCCACGCCGCCCGTGCGCCGCCCGTCCCGGCCCCACCCCGCCTGTGCACCGCCCGTCCCGGCCCCACGCCGCCCGTGAGCCGCCCGTCCCGGCCCCGCGCCGCTGCCCCGGCCCGTCGACGCCCGTGCGCCGCCCGTCCCGGCCCCACGCCGCCCGTGCGCCGCTCGTCCCGGCCCCGCGCCGCTGCCCCGGCCCGTCGACGCCCGTGCGCCGCCCGTCCCGGCCCCACGCCGCCCGTGCGCCGCCCGTCCCGGCCCCACGCCGCTGTCCCGGCCCGTAGCCGCCCGTGCGCTGCTCGTCCCGGCCCCGCGTAGCTGCCCCGGCCCGTCGCCGCCCGTGCGGTACCCGCCCCGGCCCCTCGCCACCTATCCCGGCTCTTCGCCGCCCGTGCGCCGCCTGTCTCGGCCCCGTCACCTGTTGCATCGCCGAGCCGCCCTGCAGCCCAGCAGCCGAGCCGCAGCCGAGCCGCCGAGCAGCCCAGCAGCCGAGCCGCAGAGCAGCCGAGCCGTCGAGCAGCCCAGCAGCCGAGCCGTAGAGCAGCCGAGCCGCCGAGCGTCCGAGCCGCCCTTCTTCCGAGCCGCCCGACCTGCTCAGTCTGGTGAGCACAACCCCTTTGTCACTGCACTGCCCCCCCACCCTACTGTTTGCACTACTGGTCGTCTACGGTCATGGCTACTCCTAGTGTCCTCGCCTTTGACGCTAAGGGTAGAGCCATTGACTTTGAGGTCTGGGTAAATGACCTGCAGCTGTTCTTACAGTGTGATAGGGCAGACGGCCTCTCTCTCTTTGACCTCACCTCTGGTGCTGCCCCAGCCCCTGCTGCTGATGCTGACGCCACTGTTCGCTCCCAGTGGGCCACGCGCGACGCTGCTGCACGTCTTGTTGTGCGTCGCCACCTCCCTACCTCCGAGCGTGCGCACTTTAGTCAGTACAAGAGTGCTCAGACCTTGTACGACGCTGTAGTTGCGCGCTACTCCTCCCCTGCCACTGCTGCACTGAGCCGTCTCATGCTACCGTACCTCTTCCCTGACCTTGCTGCCTTTCCCACAATAGCTGACCTCATTACGCACCTCCGCACTAGTGATACTCGCTACCGCGCTGCACTTCCAACTAACTTCTGCGCCAAGAACCCCCCCCCCCCATGTACATCACTCTTTACTACATAGTCACTCGCCTTCCTGACTCCCTTCGCGTAGTCAGGGACCACTTTTTCTCTGTCTGTCCCACCACTCTCACTGTTGACCTCCTCGAGAAGTCCCTCCTAGCGGCCGAGAAGAGCATAGTCGCTGTAGGGGCCTCTCGTGGTGACCCGCGCACCCCCATCTTTGAGGGGTGTTCCCCCTTCCCCCCTTCTGCCCTCTGTTGCCTCTGCTGTTGCGGCTGACCTCCTTGGTCTTGAGTCGGTCGGTGCGAGGTCTGCCCCTAGCGGGAGACGCCGCTCTGGCAAGGGCAAGGGGGGCAAGGGCGCAGGAGGAGCCAGCGGGGGCAGTGGAGGTGGAGGTGGCGGCAGTGGGGGGAGTGGGGATGGCGGTGGGGGTGGAGGTGGGGGTGGAGGGGTCGGTGGCGGCAGTGGAGGCGGGGCTGGCGGCGGTGGCGGCGGTGGGAGCGGCAGTGGCGGAGGTGGCGGCGGTGGAGGCGGTGGCGGAGGCGGCAGCAGTAGCGGAGGCGGCGGAGGCGGCGGAGGCGGCGGAGGCGGCGGGGGTGGCGGTGGAGCCGGTCGCGGGTCGTCGCAGAGGAGTGGTTCCGGTGGTGCCACACGCCAGCAGCAGCAGCGAGGCCGTGAGGGCCTGTCCCCTCAGCAGCTCCGTGAGTGGTACACACAGCGTCAGCGTGGCGGGGGCTTTGGTCCCTGCACCTACGTTCTTCGCACCGGCGACCGCGCGGGTGAGCAGTGTGGGGGTGCCCACACCGCCCAGCGCTGCTTTGGCCGCCTGACGGACGCTTGGCGTCAGCAGTTCCCGGAGGCCAGTGGGATCCCCCGCTGGGGAGAGCTGTCTAGGGCAGGCGTAGCTATCATTGATCTTGACTTTGATGCTATCCTTGCTGCAATGTATGCTGTGACTATTAGTGATGAGGGTGACTGTTACCGGTGTTTCCCGCCCGACCCGGGCATTGGTACTGCTGCTCTAGGTGCCGGTGAGGCTGCTGCTCTAGGTGCCAGTGCGTCTGCGCCCTCAGGTACTGGTGAGTCTGCGCTCTCAGGTACTACGTCGTCTTCGGCCTCCCTCACCTTCACCCTTGACTCTGGGGCTTCTCGCTCCTTCTTTCGGGACCGCACCACACTCACGCCGCTTAGTCGGCCGGTTGCGGTGTCTCTGGCTGACCCCTCTGGGGGTCCTGTCCTGTCTCGCTTCTCTACAGTCCTCGCGTGTCCGGCGGCTCCCACTGGCACCCTGTCTGGTCTCTACCTCCCCTCGTTCTCTACGAACCTGGTGAGTGGTGCTGACCTACAGGATGCGGGTGTCCACCAATTCACTCCTGCGCGCCAGCGGGTGACGCACTGCACCGACGCTAGCACAGGCCAACACCTGGCTACGTTTACCCGTCAGCCGGGGTCGAGCCTGTACACACTGACCACTGTGTCTCTTCCAGTTGTTGCGTCTGGTAGGGTAGCTGCGTTGGGTCAGGTGTTTGCTGCAGCGTCCAGGTCTGGTCCTGAGTCTGCCCCCTGTTCGTGTCGTCTCCTGTCTCACGAGACTCTCCTCTGGCACCACCGCCTTGGTCACCCCTCTCTGCTTCGGCTCAGAGGCATGGCCTCCCGTCTTCTTGTGTCTGGTCTGCCCCGGTCCCTCCCTCCCCTTCCTCAGGGCCCTGGCCCTACCTGTGTCCCCTGTGTCGAGGGGCGCCAGCGGGCTGCCCCTCACTCCTCCCAGTTTCCTCCGATAGAGGCCCCGCTGCAGACGCTTCACATGGACGTGTGGGGCCCAGCCCGCGTCCGTGGACAGGGTCACGAGCGCTACTTCCTGCTCGTTGTTGACGACTACTCGCGTTACACCGCGGTCTTCCCCTTGCGCAGCAAGGGTGATGTCACTGAGGTGCTGATCGACTGGATCCGCGCAGCTCGTCTCCAGCTCAGGCAGAGCTTTGGCTCGGACTTTCATGTACTGCGTCTACACTCAGACAGAGGCAGAGAGTTTTCTTCTGGCCTTCTGAGAGCCTACTGTCGCGCACGAGGCATCCGCCAGACCTTCACGCTTCCGGACTCTCCGCAGCAAAATGGGATCGCTGAGCGCCGCATTGGCATGGTCATGGACGTCGCTCGTACGTCCATGATGCATGCGGCTTGCTGAGCCTGGGGGTGCTGAGACTGGGGGTGCTGAGCCTAGGGGTGCTGAGACTGGGGGTGCTGAGCCTGGGGGTGCTGCGACTGGGGGTGCTGAGCCTGGGGGTGCTGAGCCTGGGGGTGCTACGACTGGGGGTACTGAGCCTGGGGGTGCTGAGCCTAGAGGTGCTGCGAATGAGGGTGCTGAGCCTGGAGGTGCTAGGCCTGGAGGTCCTCCGGGGGCTTCGTCTCGCCGGGAGCCACTTTCTCCCCTGGAGCTGCGCGAGTGGTTTGCACGGCGCTGGAGGCGTGCTGCTGGAGCTGGAGGTTCTTCGACTACTGAGGGTGCTGGTGCCGCGGGTCCCGGAGGTGCTCGTACTGGGAGTACTGGAGATGCTGGGCCTGCGGGTTCGACTGGAGCTGGTGCTGCTGCGGGCGTTGGTACTGAGCCTACTGCCCGCGGTCCTGGTGGGGGTACTACTGGTGCTGCTGGAGGTTCTGAAGCTGCTGGAGGTGCTGCTGGAGCGGGTGCTCCTTCTGGGGGTACTGGTGCTGTCCCTGCTGTGTCTGGCGTCGCCGCGCGGCCTCGACCGTACTTCGTTCCACTTCTGCAGCAGGTTGTTGGTCTTCCACCTTCTACAGGTCCTCCTTCTTTAGAGCGTCCACAGCCTGTCCCGTCACAGCTACAGTTACAGCCTGCCTCCCCACTACCTGCTCCCTCTCCCTACACTGGTCCTACTGGAGGTCTTGCTGAGCGCTGTAAGCCTGCGTCTCGTCCTGCGTCGCCTGTTCGTGCAGCTCGCACTAGTCGTCGCGGTTCGCGTCACCGTCCTCCTCCTGTCCCTGGCACGCACCAGATGTCTCTGCGTCCGTCCACTGCTCCTCCGAGTGCCCCTTTGCCTTCTCCTCCTGCGTCCTCTCTTCCTACTCTTGCCGACCCGGAGTCGGACTCTCTTCGTGCTGCCAGTCCTACTGTCACGCGTCTCCTTGCTACTGTCGTCACTGACCCTTCTTTTGAGTCCACTGCTGCATCTGCCCTAGTTACTGAGCTCGTGGACTTTGCTGCTCGCTGTCGCCTAGACTACACTGCTAGTCTTGTCGCTGAGTCTGAGTCTGTCTGTCCTCCGTCCGTCGGGGGTGAGTGTGCCCTTGGCACGGACGTCCTTGAGGACAGGCAGGAGGAGTTACAGTGCTTGGCCGCTGCTTCACCTCATCTCGTGTCCGTACTGCTTACCCCTGAGGGAGACCCGGATGCACTTGACATCCCGACTCTGCGCTCTTACGTGGAGGCGATAGAGGGTCCCTACTCTTCTCAGTGGCAGGCAGCTATGGATGCAGAGATGGCGTCCTGGAAGTCCACAGGCACCTACGTTGACGCTGTCCCCCCTCCTGGGGCGAACATCGTCAGTGGCATGTGGATTTTCAGGATGAAGCGGCCGCCGGGGTCTCCGCCTGTCTTCAAGGCTCGGTACGTGGCTCGTGGCTTCAGTCAGCGGCAGGGAGTTGACTACTTTCAGACCTTCTCTCCCACCCCGAAGATGACCACTCTTCGGGTGCTACTGCACGTTGCTGCTCACCGTGACTACGAGCTGCACTCCCTCGACTTCAGCACAGCTTTCTTGCAGGGCAGCCTGCACGAGGAGATCTGGCTGCGTCGCCCACCTGGCTTCACTGGGTCGTTCCCTCCTGGTACCCCGTGGAGCCTCCGGCGTCCAGTTTACGGTCTCCGCCAGGCGCCCCGTGAGTGGCACGACACACTGAGGACTACTCTTGCGGCTCTTGGGTTTGCTCCTTCTACGGCCGACGCGTCGCTGTTTCTGCGCAACGACACCTCTCTGCCGCCTTTCTACATCCTCGTGTACGTCGACGACTTGGTCTTTGCCACTGCTGACACTGCTGGACTCGCCCACGTGAAGTCCGAGCTGCAGAAGAGACACACGTGCACAGACCTGGGTGAACTGCGCAGCTACCTTGGCTTGCAGATCGCCCGGGACAGAGCACGCCGCACCATTACCCTGACTCAGTCACACATGGTGCAGCAGGTCCTTCAGCGCTTCGGCTTCACCTACTCCTCGCCTTAGGCCACTCCTCTGCCTACTCGCCACTCACTCTCAGCTCTGCCTTCGGATGAGTCCGTAGAGTCGAGTGGCCCGTATCCAGAGCTTGTTGGCTGCCTCATGTACCTGATGACCTGCACACGACCTGACCTTGCATACCCTCTTACCATTCTCGCACGCTATGTTGCTCCTGGGAGACACCGACCAGAGCACATGGCTGCAGCGAAGAGGGTGTTGCGCTACTTGTGCAGCCCATCGGGCATGGGGCTAGTGCTTGGAGGGCGCAGTCCAGTGGTCCTCATTGGGCACGCAGACGCTTCCTGGGCTGACGACCAGGCTACACAGCGGTCGTCACAGGGTTACACCTTCAGCCTTGGTTCCGGCACTGTCTCGTGGCGGGCTACTCGCTCGTCTTCTGTTCTCGGCTCCAATTGTGAGGCTGAGATCTACGCTGGGGCCATGGCTGCACAGGAGCTTCGCTGGCTCACCTACCTGCTGACCGACCTTGGAGAGCCGCCTCGTTCTCCTCCAGTTCTGTACGTAGACAACAAGGCCATGCTGGCCTTGTGTCGAGAGCAGCGACTGGAGCACAGAACGAAGCACATTGCTCTCCGCTACTTCCTTGCTCGTGAGCTACAGCAGTGTGGTCAGTTGCGGCTTGCGTACGTGGCCTCTGAGGCCAACACTGCTGATGTTTTCACCAAGGCACTTCCGCCTTGTGATCATCAGCGCTTCTGCACTCAGCTGGGTCTTGTCCCTGTCTTGCCTCACTTACTCACCTCTTGACCTTGTTTGTACTGTTACATATATATATACCTGCTCTTGCTTGTCTAGCCTTATATATATATGTACTCATGCATGTGAACTGGCCTTGTGGCCTTGAACTTGTGCTCGGAATGTGTGGTGACTTTGTGATCCACCCTGAGCTTGCTTTGCTTTGCTTTGCTTGACTGGTCTTGTGAGCCCCTGTTCTCCCCCACTTTGCCTATGGGGGTGTGTCAGAACATTATAGCTTATGCTTTTGTGTAGGCTATAGTGGGGTATCCCATAGGGGATACAACCCAATTAGGGTTTCCTATATGTACTCAGTTCATTCATAGTTCATCCATTCTCGTTTCAGTTTTCTCATGGCTGAGCAGTGTGCAATATATTCTGCTTCAGCTGACGAGAGAGCAATTATTTCCTGCTTGCTCGATTGCCAGTAGATAGGTCCGATAGGCTCGAAGCCTAGATGTAGCCGGTGCGCGATCGTCTGTTGTCGGAGTCGCCCGCGTGATCTGCGTCGACGTAACCGATTAGCTTAGGCGTTGTAGTTGCGTTCTTATGGTAAGTCAGGCCGACCGTCGGGGTACTGACGAGGTAGTGAAGAGCGCGGTCAAGCTCCGCCAGATGTTCCGCTTCAGGCTTCTTGAGGTGGGTGGCGAGCTGGCTTGCAGAGTAGGATAGATCTGGGCGGCAGGTGACAGTTGCGAAGAGAAGGCAGCCCAGCTTTCTCTGGTAGTCGCGTATGCCGGCGGGCTTGAGTAGAGTGGAGCCTTCCTTATTGTTTGCTGTCGTGTAGCGGTACGGTGTGGAGATGACAGTCGGTGTGAGTGCGAAACGCTTGGCGATGGTGTCGGCGTATTTCACGGCGCTGAGGTAGATAGCGACTTCCTCTTCCCGGATGTTGAGGCCGAGGTACTGTATGACGATAGATGAGACCGTGAGTGTGAGGTCTTGCTGTAGCTCCCGTTCGAACCAGGTTATAATGCGGTCAGTTGAGCCGATGTAGAGCAGATCGTCTACATAGACGATTAGCAGGATGTAGTCGGTACCCTTCGTGAGCCGGTACATGCCCTGGTCGTGCGGCAATTGCTTGAAGCCGATGCGAATGAGGCGAGCGTGTAGGTATTGTTGCCATATTCGCGAAACTTGCTTGATGCCGTAGAGCGACTTGAGTAGTTGACAGACGTGGTTCGAGTCCGTGCTGGAGCCGTGTGGTAGCTCGACGAAGATCTCTGCGTCAACAGGTGCGTAGAGGAATGCGTTAGCGACGTCGATTTGCCGCAGCTTCTTCTTCTTCATGGCGGCGATCGCGAGAAGGATGCGTAGCAAGGTGTGTCGGCTGACCGGAGCGAATGTTTCGGTGAAATCGCGTCCGTGCTCTTGGTCGAAGCCGCGTACGACCCAGCGTGCCCTAAATTTGTCGATGGTGCCGTCAGCCTTTGTCTTCACACAGAAGACCCACTTCCCCGTGAGCAATGTCTTGTTCCGTGCCATGCCGATAGGAACCACTTTCCACGTGTTGCGTTCCTCCAGTGCCTTCAGTTCCTTGTCCATGGCTTCGCGCCATTTTTCCTTATGTTCCCCCCCCAGAGCCTGCTGAACCGTCGCAGGCTCTTTAGGAGTGGCGGTGCCGTGGACTGCGGTGACGAGTCCGAGAATCTGCAGTCCACTCTGTGAGTAGCGGGGGAGATTTATGTCCTCGGGATAAGTTGCTTCATCTCCCGCTTCAGGATCAGGTATGAAGTTTGGTCCTACTCGTTCTGCTTCGTTGGTGTTGACTGTCGCAGGTGTTACGTAACCGTTGTCGGCGAAATGGTAGAAGGTTTCCGCGTTGGCACTTTCGCGAGGGTTGTCTTCGTCCATGGGAACGTCGACGGAGCAGAACGGAAGAGGTCCGGCTTCTTCTGATGCGTTGTCCATATTCTGCTCGTCCCAGTCAGCTTCGTCCGTTGCTGAGGCGAAGGCTCGGTCACCACAAAAACCACCTGTGCGATCCTGGTCTTCATGCAGGTTGGCAAGGTATGTCTGGAGTGTGAGTCGTTCGTAGAAAATTACATCACGTGCTGCTACTGTTTCCTTGGAGTGGACATCGAAGATTTTCCACGCGTTGTAGCTCTTTTCGATACCCAGGTGTAGTCCCCACTGTGCTCGTTGAGAAAATCGGCCCGCTCGTGCTGCTGGAGGTCGGTACTGTACCATGCATCCGAATACTCGTAACAGTTTTGTGCTGCCCTGTTTCCCTGTCCATAGCAGATGCGGTGATGCGTTGTTCGGAAGCGATGTTGATGACAGCAAGTTGTGCAGCATGACGGCGTGGTCCATTGCTGCAGGCCACTGATGGTTGGGTAGCCGCATGCCACGTAATAGTTTGTGCATGCTGTTCTGCAAGGTCCTGTTCATTCTTTCTGCTACACCTTGCTGCTGATGGGCGTAGGGAAGGGAGATGAGCCGCTTGATTCCCCTTTCCGCCAGGTACTGCTTGAATCGCTGAGAGGTGTATTCCCCTCCTCCGTCTGACTGGAAGCTTTTCAGTTTCACGCCCGATTCTCTCTCTGCTACTGGTAGCCAGGCCACGAAGGCTGCGAATGCCATGTTGCAGCTAGGGAGGTTTAGGTGCCAGACGTAACGGGTGGTGGCGTCAATGAAGGTGATTGTATAGTTGTATATTACTTGTCTTGGTTCCCGATTGTACAGGATATCGCTGTACACCTTCTCGAGTGGTGCGTACGCGGGTGCGCTTAGGTTGTGATGAGACGCAAACGGTCGATGTGGTAAGTCACCTTCAGGGCAAGTGAGGCACGTTCCGCGTACTCGTTGAAGTTCCCGTCCGTCGGTCAGTAGGAGTGAGTCCTTGTCGAGTACTCCTACACTTATCGTATTGTTTAATACTGTGTTGCTTGGGTGTCCCATCCTTGCGTGTCAGGTGCTTTCGTCGGCGCGATGTCTGGGTGATCGTCGGTACATATCGGAGTTGGAGTAGAAGTTGGCGGTGAAGTTGGCGCTGCGATGAACTTCTCATGGTGCTGGGTGTGAGGGTGTCGGTGGCGTGTCGTCGATGAGGAGTGGTGTCGTTGAAGGACCAGCAATTGGTGTTGAAGTTCCTGCTGTTGCCGTTGATGGTTCTGCTGCTGCCGATGTTGTCTCTGCTGATGTCGATGTTGTCTCTGCTGCTGCCGATGTTGTCTCTGCTGCTGCCGATGTTGTCTCTGCTGCTGCCGATGTTGTCTGAATTGTTGCTAACGCCCTTGTTCTTTCTGCTTCAGGGATGGTGTGTGAATACCAGAAGCCTTCTGGACTAAAATCTGGATCAAGGTCTGGAGGGTGTGTCCAGTTGGTGAAGTTAACGATGGCGTCGCTGTCGGCGGTGCCAAGATCAGGATGTCAGAATATTATCTTATTGTTCTAGCCTGTAGTGGGGTGCTCTATAGCGAGTACAACCCTTCTAGGGTTTGCTATTTGTATCCTCATTCTTGCTAGTTCAATCCTCTTTCTTCCTTCTAATTTTGACATGCTATCAGAGCAGGTCGATCCCCTTGGATCGATCCTGTGGGTGTGTCCCCACCTTGCTTCCGCTGCTACTTTTTCATCTCGCCGTGCGCCCCGAGGCGCGCGGCGGTTTTCTGCCCGCCGTGCGCCCCGAGGCGCGCGGCGGTTCATTGCCCGCTGTGCGCCCCGGGGCGCGCGGCGGGCTTCTCCTCTACGTCGCGGCCCCGCCCCGGCCCGTCGCCGCCCGTGCGCCTGCCCGGCTCGGCCCCGCCCTTCGTCGCGGCCCCGCCCCGGCCCGTCGCCGCCCGTGCGCCTGCCCGGCTTGGCCCCGCCCTACCTGTCGCGGTCCCGCCCCTCCGTCGCGGCCCCGCCCCGACCGTCGCGGCCCCGCCCCTCGTCGCGGCCCCGCCCCTGCGTCGCGGCCCCGCCCCTCGAAGCGGCCCCGCCCTACGTCGCGGCCCCGCCCCGGACCCTATGCGGCCCCGCCCTACCTTCGCGGCCCCGACCTGTCGCGGCCCCACCCTACGTCGCGGTCCCACCCCGACCGTCGCGGCCCCGCCCCGCTCGTCGCGGCCCCGCCCCTTGTCGCGGCCCCGCCCTCCCCTCAGGTCCGTGGTGGGCCCCCCCCCCCCTTTCTCCCCTTCCCCCATTTCCCGTCGTCCGTCGTGGCGACCTGAGGGGGCCGCTTGCTGTGGGGTGGCGGGTATGGGGGTGGCCGGTGTGCCTTCCTCCCTTTCTCCTCCTCCTCCTTCGTCTCCCACTGCTGCAGCTGTCGCTGAGGGGGGTGGTTGTGTGGGAGACTGGGGTTTAGGGTTTTAGGGGGGTGCGTGGGAGTAGAGCTAGTGGTGTAGCAGTGGGTGTGTATCAGGGGGGGTGGGACTATGTGCGGGAGGATGAGCGGAGGTTGCCAGTTTGTCATCAGCAGCACCTGTAGTCCGAGGCGCTGTCCCGGTAGCCCAGTCGTAGCCAGCTGTGCCAGCCGCCCGTGGGTCCGTTGCCCGTCCGCCGCTATTTGAGCCGCGGGGCCTGTTACCCCTGTAGTCCGGGCGCTGTCCGGTAGCCGCTGTGCCAGTCTGCCTCCTGTTGCCCGTGTGTCTGCAGCTTCAGCCGTCGCCTCCTGTCTCCTCTCCCCTCACTCTCCCTCCTCCTCACTTGCCCGTTGTGACTACCACTAGCTTTGCTTATAATTGTAAACTCTAAACTATTTCTTCTTGAACTTGTGCTCAGAATGTGTGGTGACATTGTGATCCACCCTGAGCTTGTTTTGCTTTGCCTGCTCTGCTGATTACACCCCACTTTGGCTATGGGGGTGTGTCAGAATATTATCTTATTGTTCTAGCCTGTAGTGGGGTGCTCTATAGCGAGTACAACCCTTCTAGGGTTTGCTATTTGTATCCTCATTCTTGCTAGTTCAATCCTCTTTCTTCCTTCTAATTTTGACACAGGAACGAAGTCAAGAATGAAGACGTTGTTTTTGAGGACCGCCTTGCCGATGTAAAGTCCTCCTCTCCCGTGATACAGCTTGAATTCTTGGGTGGTTCTGTCTGCTTCGAGGTGAATCCCTTTCGCCATTAGCTGACTGACGCTCAGTAAGTTGTAGCCGAGTCCCTCCGCGATTAGTACTTTTGACATATGCAGTATAACATTTGTTTCCCTTGACTGAAGTTGGACTACGCCTTGTCGTCGTGTTCGCAGGTTCTGATTGTTGGCGACTGTAATGACAACTTCGCGTTGAAGTTGGTGTTCTCGTTGAACGAAGCATCCCGAGGAGCACATGTGCTGTCCGCAGCAACTGTCCAAGAACCATGTGTCCTTTCCGGATGGTTCGCTTTGGGCGATGGCGGCGTATGTCGGGTTCGGCTGAAGTGACTCGCGGCGGGGTGTGGTTTCGTCGAGTTGTTCTTCCGGTGAGTAGTGTGGTGGTGACTCGGTGATGCAGGAGTCACTCAGCTTTGCCATGCAGCTGACGATGTTTCTTGCTCCTTGTGCAGGTTGTCCCGTTGAAGTCGTTGAGGCTTGAATCTGAGTCGTGGGATTTGCTTGCGTTGAGGTGATTTGGCTACTTGAAGGTCGAAGTTGCCGCTGTGGAGTTGTTGACTGTTGACGGTTCGGGCAGTGTGTACGCATGTGTCCTGAAGTTTTGCATATGTGGCAGAACGGAGGTACTGGCTTGGTTGTTGCTGCCGGTTGTTGTTTTTTTTGTAGCGTCGCTGAGTGTGGAACGCGAATTCCGGTGCTGATGTCTTCTTTTTGTGTCGTTCTTCTTGCAGGTCCATGTCTTGCTGCTCGGCGTGGATTTCGTAGCAGAGCGCTGCTTCGGAGATTCTTCCGTGAGCTCGGAGGATGGCCGTTGTGGCGCGCCATTGAGGACCGAGGCCGCCGATGAGGACTGTCACGCAGGCGTCTTCAGAAATCGACCCTCCGCATCGAAGAAGCTTGTCGCGCAACTCGCGACATCGACTGATATATGCCATTCCTTTCTCCCCTGGTTTCATTTCAACCGTTGTCAGTTGCGCCATTAACCGACTTTGGCTTACGCTGTCTGTTGCTTGATACAGGCTCTTCAGGTGGTTGTACGCGAGTTCCGCGGAGTTGCCGTAACCTCGGTAAGACCTTATGTTCTGCTGTTGAGTCGGGGTGATATTCCTCAGTAGGATTGTGTACGCCATCATTGTCTGATAGGTGTACTGCTGCTTCTCGTACTGTGTGCCGTTTGTTGGATATGGCAGAGACCCGTCGAACAACCCGAGTATCTGTGCGCCTTCCATCATCAGCTCGAACTCGAACGACCAGGTGAAGAAGTCCTTTCCATCGAAGGGTCTTGCCGTCTGCATCTTCAGGACGTGTGTGAACTGCGACTGAACTTGTAATGCGTCCAGTGATTTTTCTTGTCCAAGTGAAGGCTATGGGTGTGGCATAAAGCTGATGGACCCGCGCTCGTACGGAGCAAAGGTAGGCTGCTGTTGTTGATTTCCTCGTGCATACGATGAGCCGTCGAGACTCATTGGTGTTGCTCTGTTACTGTTGTGTGACTTCGCAGGTGCCAATTGCTGGTGTTGCTCGTAGAGGGACATGAAGGAGAAAAACTTCTCCATCATGCTCTGGTCGAAGTTTGTAGGTTGATTCGCGGGAGTCTCGGTAGATGTTGCTCTGGGTTTTGTTGCCGTGTCCTCCTCTGTCTGTAGGCCAGAGGCAGGAGGTGGAGTAGGAGTAGTGCCCTGGGAGCCGTTGGAGTTGCTCCTTTCCTTTTGTGTAGCCATGCTTGTTGGTGTTGTCGGTATAGAAGTTGAATTCCCCCTGATAGCTCTCATACCATGTTAGGCTGAAAAAGCCCTTAAGATCTTTGCAGGGGTGAACTCTGGGTAGAGTTGGTGTAGTAGCGGAAGCGTTAATTAAGAAGTTGTGAACCACCTTGCGCTAGTACGGTATGTGAGGGCAAAGTAAGTTGATTAAAACAAAAGGATATAAGAGTACAAGGAATATGAAAGGATACGGTTATAACTGTTTTACTTGTTGCTGTTGCGGTTCGATACAGTGACGACTCGGGCAACTGCTCTGTAGCGAGTCAGTTGTGTGTCCTTGCTGTCGCACTGTATTTGTCAGGTCAAAGGTCGCAGACCTTTGACTTTCGCGTAACCTCCAGCGGTTACTTCAACCTCCGAGGGTTGACTCGCTGGTGCCTCGGTATGCTTTGCTTCGCTTGTGCCTTAGTTTTTCGACACGACAGAAGCGCTTAGGACCGATTGTTTCCAACAAGATATCTCTGAAGTTGCAATGACTAAGCAGCCAAGATTTTATCCTTGCTGAGAAATCGTTTCCCGTTCCAATTGTTTCTTTCATTTAGTGTCACAACTTGTCAGAAGAGCCTACCCCACTTCCACCTTCCCCATCTCTCCCCCCCATGAGTGGCGCTTCCTCTTCCCTTATCCCACTACCGCCACCCCCAGACAATCTATTCTTTAGCACTCTGAACAAGGAACCAGAGGAAGGGCTAATAAGGTCCCTAGAGGGCGGGGTAATTGCAACTCCCAGCTTCTCCTGATCCTTGCCCCCACTCGCACTACCCGCCATTTCTATACCTGCATTGGAGGAATGGGAGTGGGTGGAAGCTGAGGTGGGGGTGGTGTTGCTGCTAGGGTTTGTTATAGCCAAAAGGTTACTGCTGCTGCTGTTGCTGTTGCCACTGCTGCCGATGGCGCTACTGGTGGCGGTGGAAGCTGATTGGCTGGCTGCTGCTGCTTTGGTGACCGCGTACCAGCTCTTGTAGTAGAGAGCACCGAATACCACCACCTGAGGAAGGGTGGCGAAGGGGGAGAGAGGGAGGGGGGGGGGCGGAATGGGCAGGTTGAGGGCGTCTCTTAGGATTCTCAAGAACTGTCTTGTAGTAGAGAGAACCGAATACCACCATCTGGTGAAAGGGGTTGTCGGGAAGGGAGTGGAACTGGCATACACAAATTGGGGAGAGGTGTTTCTGGGGAAGGGCATTACTGAGGATTCTCACGAATTCTTTTGTAATTGAGAGCACCAAAGAGCACTTCCTAAGAAAGGGGTGTGTGGGGGAGTGCATTTGAAGAAAACAATACAAGACACTAAGTAATAGGGAGCACCAAACACCACCACCACCTGGTGAAGGGTGGTGCAGGGGGGTGGAATGGGCAGATGCAGGGTGTACTTGAAATTTATAAGAAACACTAGTGTAGTAGATAGATAGCACCAAAAAAACCACCACCAGGTGAAGGGTGGTAGGGCGGGGGAGTAAGCGCATTGGGGAGGTGTTTTGGGGAATTCTGAAGTAGAGTTCACTGAAAGACCGCCATCTGGTGAGAGGTGGTGCAATAGGGAGTGCGGTGGTGCAGTAGGGAGTGCGGTGGTGCAGTAGGGAGTGCGGTGGTGCAGTAGGGAGTGCGGTGGTGCAGTAGGGAGTGCGGTGGTGCAGTAGGGAGTGCGGTGGTGCAGTAGGGAGTGCGGTGGTGCAGTAGGGAGTGCGGTGGTGCAGTAGGGAGTGCGGTGGTGCAGTAGGGAGTGCGGTGGTGCAGTAGGGAGTGCGGTGATGAAGTAGGGAGTGCGGTGGTGCAGTAGGGAGTGCGGTGGTGCAGTAAGGAGTGCGGTGGTGCAGTAGGGAGTGCGGTGGTGCAGTAGGGAGTGCGGTGGTGCAGTAGGGAGTGCGGTGGTGCAGTAGGGAGTGCGGTGGTGCAGTAGGGAGTGCGGTGGTGCAGTAGGGAGTGCGGTGGTGCAGTAGGGAGTGCGGTGGTGCAGTAGGGAGTGCGGTGGTGCAGTAGGGAGTGCGGTGGTGCAGTAGGGAGTGCGGTGGTGCAGTAGGGAGTGCGGTGGTGCAGTAGGGAGTGCGGTGGTGAAGTAGGGAGTGCGGTGGTGCAGTAGGGAGTGCGGTGGTGCAGTAGGGAGTGCGGTGGTGCAGTAGGGAGTGCGGTGGTGCAGTAGGGAGTGCGGTGGTGCAGTAGGGAGTGCGGTGGTGCAGTAGGGAGTGCGGTGGTGCAGTAGGGAGTGCGGTGGTGCAGTAGGGAGTGCGGTGGTGCAGTAGGGAGTGCGGTGGTGCAGTAGGGAGTGCGGTGGTGCAGTAGGGAGTGCGGTGGTGCAGTAGGGAGTGCGGTGGTGCAGTAGGGAGTGCGGTGGTGCAGTAGGGAGTGCGGTGGTGCAGTAGGGAGTGCGGTGGTGGGAACAAAGAGCAGTGGCTGAGGGCAGAGCGCACGAGGACGACAAAAGCCGGGGGTTCTGGTGGAAAGGGAAGCCAGGCGAGGTAGCCTCTGGGGAAAGCGGTGAAACTCGGTTGATGGAAAATGCTGTAAGCTTAAAACGGCCAGGGACGACGGAGTTGGGGGAGACGAACGCCTAATTGACGAGAGACGGAGGTGACAGAGTAAGTCTTGGGATGAGGGGTGAGCACTTACTGTGCCGACTTGCTGTGTGGAGGAGAGAGGCGGACCATAGACGGTAGATGATAGCACGATACTGAGAAGCTGGTGGTAGGGATGGGCGGACGGAAAAGGAGCATGGAATGGGAAGAATTGGGAATGAACAAGAGAAAGAGCAATGATTTAGGAGTATGTGGCATGAGATGCGCAGAAGGATAAGATAGGGTCCCCTTGTTAATGTTAGCCCTCAATCTCACACTTTGTACTTGTACTTTTTATATCCTAGTTTAGTGTAGCTTGCACTTTGTGTTTGGTTGGGTGTACACCCACATCCCAACCAAACCCAAATGTGATCTTCAAGCAATCTCCAACCCACCAATTGGAGATTGCCTTGGGATTACCCCCAATTCCCTAGGATTGCCCCCGATTCTCTCCCCACCTTAACCTTGCCCATTTCCAATGTACTTAAAGAGCCTTGAGCTCATTACTAATGCATGGATTCTGAGCTCACTTCTAACACCCCTTTCTTCAGCATATTAAGACTTGCATAAAGGGAAACGTGTTGATTGAAGAGGTGACATGGAAGGAGTAACTTGGGCATGGCTTGAGAAGAAAACGGACAAAGGCAATTAAACATGCACGTGCAGAGATGCACACACACAACATGCACACCGCAAGTACGCAACATGCATACAGCACACCACACCGCACACAGCACTCACCTGGCGGGTGGTCATGATGGTGGCGAAGGTGAGAGCACCAAAGGTCTTAATGGTGTAGGAGATGAAGAACTGGCTTATGGTGGCTGCCTGGTGGGGTAAGAGGGAACATGACGGAGGTGGGGGAAGGAAGGGGAGAGACGGGGGAGGGAGAAATGGCTGCTACCATGAACAACTGGCTAATGGTGGCGGCCTGGTAGGGGGAGATGGGAGGGAGGGGAAGGGAGTGCAGGCAGCTGGCATGTTGATGGAGCGTGTGGGAGATGAGTTTTGAGTCGACTCAAAACTCAGCTGGCATGCTGATGGAGCGTGTGGGAGATGAGTTTTGAGTCGACTCAAAACTCAGCTGGCATGCTGATGGAGCGTGTGGGAGATGAAGAACTGGCTGACGGTGGCCGCCTGGTGGGGTGGTGGGACAAGTGAAGCGAGGTGGGGAGAGTTGAAGGGGGGCTTTGGAAGGTAGATTCGGCTGTTATCTTGATGGAGAGTGTGTCGTAGATGAAGGGAGTGCGTGGGAGGAAGGGGGAGGGGAGGAGTGGGTGGTGTGTTGATGGAGTGTGTATGAGAATCTAGATGGATGGGATACCGCCAGATGGAGCTTACAGTCACAGCCTGGAGGGATAACTGGATTCAAGCGTACCAGTGGGAAACAAACGGACTTGCGACGCACGACAGCTTCTGGATCAACAACAGGAGCCGTGCCGTACCCCTGTTCGTAAGGAATGCAAGGCGTACCGTATCACAGAAGCACTATTCACAGAGAACCAACGTAAGGCGTACCACAGAGAGCACTGCAATGTGGAGGGCACAGTCGGGATGGCGCATGATGAATGCAATGGCTGCTGCTAGGTCCTGGCGCAGGCCTGGTAGGGGGTGAGTGAGAGGGCATGGCGTATGGCAAGGCAACACAACACGATGACAGAACAGCACAAGAAGATGCACAGCATGATTAATGTGATGGCCGCTGCTAGGTCCTGGCGCAGGCCTGGTGGGGGCGAGAGAGGCAGAGCGATGAGCAGGAGGAGGGTGAGACATATGACGATACAGCATGAACGCAGAACAGAATAATACGATGACGTTTGAAAGAACGAATGATGAATGCAATGGCGCTGCTAAGTCCTGGTGCGGGACAGGCGGGTATGCAATGCAAGGCTAAAAAAAAACGATGACACTAAATTGAAGCATGATGTCAGAACAGCAAACCTCGGTGTCACGAGCCCTGACAGTGATAAACGCTGCATCTGGGTCAGAAAGCAGGTGCTTACCCAGCAGGCTGATGACGGAGGAGCAGAGTGTGATGTAGAGCACCTGGTTGGCGGCCGGCATGTCATAGCCCTCAAACAGCTTGTCCTGAAACGTGTTGGTGAACCCGTCAAAGCTGGGGAGCGGGTGGTCGGAGGGATGAGGATGAGGGGACAGGTGGAGAGGGACGAGGAGCGAGGGAGAGGGGTTGGCATGTCATAGCCCTCAAACAGCTTGTCTTGAAACGTGTTCGTGAAGCCGTCAAAGCTAGGGGAAAGCGGGAGAAGGGTGAGGTCCGTGAGTGAGGATGAGGGGACACACAGAAAGCCAGCGGATAGGAAAGGGGAGACGTGCTCATGATGTCTAGGAGAGAGAGAGGAGCGAGGGACGCTATAACCTTCTACATGCTTGTCTTGAAATGTGTTAGTTACCTAGCTCTTGGCAGCATTGGCAAGGCAAAAAACGATGCATGGGAGGAAACGAAGGGGGCGGAGAGGGAGATGGAGAGGGGAACGAGTAAGCGGCAGCAAAGGAGAAAGAGGTATCCCACACATGCTGTGCCCCCTGCTATCCCAGTCATGCTCTGCCTTACCCCAGGTATACCATGCGCGCTCTGCCCTACCCCAGCTCTCCCACGCACTGCGGCAGTCACCCAGCCATGCACCACCCCAGATATCTCATCCCAGCCATGCACCGCCCCAGATATCTCATCCCAGCCATGCACCGCCCCAGATATCTCATCCCAGCCATGCACCGCCCCAGATATCTCATCCCAGCCATGCACCGCCTTACCCCAGACACCCCACGCATGCACCGCCTTACCCTAGGTATCCGAGCATGAGCATGAGGCCAGAGAACGTGCTCTTGACACTCGTGCGCGCAGTCTTGACACCTTGACCCGGGGCATGGGCCGTGGCAGGAATGGAGATGAGACGAGTCACGCGTGTGTACAGGTGCCGTATGGGAGATGAGAAGTGGGAGGTGGTGGAGAAGGGGGAAGAAAAGGGGGAGGATGCGGCAGATAGGGTGTGTAGAGACGAAGGGAGGGAGGGAGGGAGAGAGGGAGGGAGGGAGGGCAGGGAAACGGAAGGGAAAGGAAGAAGGAAGGAAGGGTCACACGCTGAGGAGGGTTGCATGCAATTCTCTTGACTGCCAAAGTGGACCCCGAGAACAAGCAAGCAAGGAAGAGTCAACACTAACTTATTCAGGTCACATATTTGAAGGGACAGTGGAAAGAGACTGGACCTGGGAGGAGTGAGTGGTGAAGGAAGTGAATGTGGCAACAAACAAGGATGGACAGATAATAAACACACACACGCACGCACGCGCGCGCGCACACACACACACACACACACACACACACACACACACACACACACACACACACAAACACAAGGGAGCGGAGACACACCACGTTGAGGAAGAAGAGGCAGGAGCCGAGGATGATGGTGATGGCGATGATGTACTCCCTGGGCTTGTACTGCTTGCGCGATATGATCGTGCCCCAGATCTGCAGCAGCATGGTTAGCATGGTTGCAGTAGCATGGTGCAGGAGAGTACAGGAGAGAGTGTTTTAGGGTGATGGTGATGGCGATGAGGTACTCTCTGGGCTTGTACTGCTTGCACGATATCAACGTGCCCCAGTTTTGCAAAAGCAGCAGCACGGTTGCATCAGCATGGTTGCAGAAGCATGGTACACGAGAGTAATGTTTAGGGCGGTGTGGCATGGGGTGACGTGGTGGCATGGTGTGGTGGCGGTGCAGCATGAGGTGGTGCTGGAGACATGTTGGGTTGGGTCAGTTCAGTTCACAGGGCTTACCAGCACAGGCACCATGCGGGATGACTTGGCGATGGTCTGCAGAGGGAAGCTCACGTACTTGAGGGCCTTTTGTGGGGTTGGGAGGAACAGGGTGGGATTGGGAGGATTGGGGTGGGGTTGGGAGGATTAAGGTGGGGTTAAGATGGGTTTGGGGTGAGTGTCCAAGAAGGGTGTGTGGGTGGGAGGGAAGACAGGGACAATGTTGGCGAAACTCTCAATCAAAGGGGAAGGGGAAAAAGGTGAATGACGTTTATATTGCATGCGCAACACAACAACCACATTCAACTTTTGAGACGACTCAAATTTCAGCGATCAATGCAGCAGCGTACCTCGTATTGGCACCCGGAGGAAATGGCATTGGAGAGTGACACAGCGCCATTTGAGGCGCCTCAAAGGCCAAAACAGCGATCATTGCAGTGCAGTGAGTGTGCGTGGTGCGTTGCGTACCTCATATTGGAGGAGATGACATTGGAGAGGGACACAGCGCCAGCCAGCCATTTGAGGCGCCTCAAAAGCCAATACAGCAACCATTGCAGCGTGCTGCGTGCGTGCTGCGTACCTCGTATTGGCACCCGGACGAGATGACATTGGAGAGGGACACAGCACCATAGGCGTAAATTGGAGCCACTAGAGCCAGCGACGCTCCTGTCACCTGCATGTGTATGGTTTGGGATGGAACACGATGTGGGGTTTGTGCGTAGTGTGCGATGTACTGTATATTTACCGAACGGGACTGTGCAGTGGATGATTATGATGGATGTCGCACACGGTACACTCATGAGCTGAATAATGTACGCTGTACAGTGTCTAGTTCGTCCTGTAAGTAGGTAGGTGGGTTCATCATAGCACTGCGCTGAGCACTGACATGAGTCGGCTGCATTGCAGAGCAGGATGGAAATTAAGATGCTATAGTATGATGAGTCGAATCAAAGGGCATCGGCTCCCCAGGTGCACAATGACCGCCACAGCGCACGTCATGAGGCGGTTACATAGCACGATGAACAGTAAGAGTAAGATGCTGGAGTAGAGGATACTCAAAGGTTCTGACTGACTCACCAGGTGCACGATGACTGCGACAGCGCACGTCATGAGGCGGTTACAGAGCACGATGAAGAGTGAATGCTGGAAGTACTCTGAGTCCTCGTCCCTGTCACCGTACGGAAACTTCATTATCCGCTCCTGCGTTACAAGCACGTAGCAGGTTCAAACCACCGATCTATGCAACAAAATTAAGTCGGCACAGCAGGAATTCAGAACGACTACAGGAGTCGGAGTTGGAAAGGGTGGACACACAGCCCACAACACAAATGACGCGCCAAGGCTGATGGGAGAAAATTCGTCGTAAGGAGTCGAAACTCAAAGGTACGCAAAAGCCGGCCCTTGACACAGCGACACATCCCTGCAAGGTCGCCTTACCGAACTTTGAAGCACGTATGGGCCATCAGTGTCGCAGCGACGCACCTGGCCAATGCCGTAGATGATGAGCGTGCCCACCACGCCGATGAAGCACCATATCAGCTTCGCCAGGTCGCCTTTCGCCGCAGCTTTCCTCCGGTTCATCGAGCTCGACCTACAATAAAAAAAAGAAGGGAATGCGACCTGGCGAAGCTGGTTAGGCAATGCGACCTAATCAGAAGCTTTTCTCCTGTTCTAGTCGTTTTTTTTTTAACGCGATGGGAAGACTGCACCTTGAAGCGTCAGCAAACACTCGAATTGACGTTACTAGACCAGATTTCAAACAGCAGGTGATGACACAAGAGACGAAGCTACGTGGCCACGCGGAGTGGCGTGCGGTCATATGACGGAGATCCCGATGACGAATAAAATGGCGTGAGGACCTATACGAGCAACAGGGTGTGCATTAAAGACCATATTCACCTGCCATAGTCGAGCGTTCTAGAATGCGGTGCTGTCTCCTGCGTCGAAGCTGCCATGATGACGCTACAGGCCCTAGCAGGACCCCACTAAGGCCGATGGTATGTGATGTGACATCAGCAAGATTCGAAATATGGGCCAGCAGTACGATAGTACGGTTGCTATTGAACGAGCTATCCTGGCAATTCGCCTTCGAGGTGCTACACGCGAGAAATTTGCCGTGAAAAGTTTTCGCCTGGTTGGTTCCTAACACGAATTCTGCTGGTTCTAGGAACGAGGTATTTAGTTGTTAGCAGCAGTTAGGTTGGTTGGGAAGGACTACACTTAGGAGTGAAAACGAAATGCATTCGAAGTACACCCTCATTGTCAGTCTTCTCACCGGCGGAAGCAGTGGCTACAGTGTTTGGACGTAGCGGGCTGGTGAGATAACTCGGTTGCGGGCCAAGTCGCACGAGGCGACGAAACCAGACTTGGGCCGTAAATTTCCGTTAACGCTGAATAACTGTCTTAACAGTTTAGAAAACAGCAGTACCATTCTAGAACGTATAGAACCCTGACTAAACGCCCTGGGTCAAACTGTCAGTATAACGCATGTGATAGGACCTTCTTTGGTCCGCTGCGGCTACACTAAGCGTCGCGGTCAGTATAACGTATGCCAGTCTAACGAGAATGAAGGTGTACTTCGAAATTGTTCTACCTGCTTTTATCTGTTCTCAATGGCCCAATCTGGTTACCGACGGTACAGCACATCGAGATTTGTGATCTGAGATTGGGATTGCCGTGGCGAGCGGCTCAGTTATTGGCTGTGTCGTGGATCTGCGAAGAATGCGTGCGATCTTTTTGGACTTGATGGAGGTTCTCAGAGAAACGGGAGGGGGGGGGTCATCAACAGATGCGGGTCCCCATTGAGCGGTTACATCGGAGTGACCAATTTCGGTCCGGAACTACTGTAATGATTTTCTAACTCGACTGCACTACAACTTCCATGCGCAAATGGGCAAGGGTTCATCCGAGTGTCGAACGAGTCCTCATTGAAACGCAGCCTCACTGTCAAGGACGAAGGCCTGACCGTGCAAGAACCCAAACGAGTAGGTTGGTGCGGCTTGGCTCGGGAGGAACAAAACGGGATCGAGCTCATCGAATGTCGGCGGAGAGAGGGAGGCCATGACAGGGGCAGGGAAGGAAAGGGCTGCTCCCTGCGGAGCGTCCCTCCTGAGTGAGTGAACCGGCAAAAAGGCTTGTGAGCAGAAGCGCAGTGGATGCGGGCGGGGGAACCAGGAAAAAGGCTTGTGATGGGGGAGGGATACTTGGGCGAGGGGGAAAAGGAAGGCGGGAAAGGCTGACTGGGGGAGGTGGTTCTGGGGAGGTGGCGCAGTTTGAGAGAATGCACTAACATATAATGCATTACAGCACCTGATGCATTTTGAGGAGTCTCTACGTTGTCAAACTTATAGCTAGGCAGATGGCTGAGACCACCTTTATTGACAATATAAGTACAAAGGTACATGGGTTAAGGGTTAAGATCCTACCTAAGAACACAAAGAAAACAGCAATGGTATTCCCACTTCTAAATGATTCAGAAATCGTTCCCCGGGTACGGAAAGTCCGCCGCCGACGGGGGGGTAACCTCCAAAGTGCCAATGCTGGAACCAACCGTGAACCAAACCTGCGCCCGCCTGCAGATCGTGCAGGCCTGCTCGCGCTGATGGACGGGGGAGATGCGCTTCTAGAAGCTAGTTTCGAACAGCTGCGGAAGGAGGTCGGAGAAGCCACTCATGTCACATTGGCGCATGCTCCATGGCGGCTGCAATCTCTGAGGAAATCCTGGAATGATTTCCCGAGGGACCCAAAGGTCTCAAGAGCCAACGGAAGGAATTTGACGCCGGGTCGAGACCAACAAGAGCATCCTAAGGGCACTATTTGATATTGCAGGCCTATTGAATTAGGCATAAACGCTTTGACAAGGGAGGGAAAAGCGCCACAAACTTTTCAGCATCCAATGCTGTAGGCCCTTCCGAAACACCAAAAAAAACATATTCCGGCGCTCAATGGACAAGGAATAATGTGCAATAGGGTGAAAATATGCTGTCACATTTTTTAATCTCCTGCCATACCCCATACTATGCCTATCAGATGTGCATGCGCCTCTAATTGGAGCAAAGCACTTATGTCCGCCCCGTGATGATAAGCGAACCGAAAAACTAGGGGTGTTTATAGTAGTACATGTGTTGGCATTTCTTTACATTCTTAACAAACATCATGTATCCAATTCGTCGTACATCGTTACAAGTTCCTTTTTGTGCCCCATTCACTCTCACGCGATTGACTTGCTCGCGCCATATCATCGAGGAGAGCCACTTTACAATAGTCGTGAGCTAGACTAGGGTGTTGGCATGAACTCTAGAAGTGATCGTAGCTTTGTTCAGTTCCTTAGCACTTGTGCATTAACGGGAGCAATTGGCAAGAATTTCCACTAGGCAAAGATTGCGTTCCAGAATGATAGCAACAATTACTACATCAGCCACCTAGCAATCCTGCAGCTAGCCTGATCGCCCGCCAGCACGACATGGTCGACCGCTTGCCAGCGTTGCATAGAGAAGACTTGCCAGCATGCCAGAAAGATGACCTGCCAACAAAGCAAGTCGACGGCGTGCCAACGCTACAGCAAAGCGGCTATCCATTGTTGCACCTGTAGATGGCAGCAGTGCGCACGTTCGCAGGTGCACGCATACGATTGGCCCTGTCAGAATCAACTGTGCAGAAATGAATAAACCATGAATGAGTTCGGTACAAGTATTAACCCTAAAGTGTGGTACCCCTGTAGTCTAACCCACTATAGCCCAGAGAGAACACAAACATATAGCTTGACACACCCCCATAGGCTAAGTGGGAGAGACCAAATACAACAGACGGTCACAAGACCAGTCAAGCAAGAGAACAAGCAAAGCAAAGCTCATGGTGGATCTCAAGGACACCACACAATCTGAGCACAAGCAAGCGACCACAAGGCCAATTCACATGCAGAGTTATAATAGCAAGGTTGTACACAGATCACAACCTAGCAAGAGTATGTCAGAATGAAGAATGATTGAACTAGGAAAATGTTGGATACAAATATGAAACCCTAGAAACCTGTACCCCTTAGTGAGTACTCCACTAGAGCCTACAAAGACCAAGTCATATATATCTGACACACCCCCATAGGCAAAGTGGGGGAGAACTAGGGGTCACAAGACTAGTCAAGCAAAGCAAGCTCAGGGTGGATCACAACGTCACCACACATTCCGAGCACCGGTTCAAAGGCCATAAGACCAATTCACATGCAAGATCATATATATAAAGGTAAACAAGCAAGAGCAGGTATATATAGATCACAGTACAAGGAAGGTCAAGAAGTAAGCAAGTGAGGCCAAGTAGGCACAAGACCTGGCATCGTACAAAAGCGCTGATACTCACAAGGCTGAAGTGCCTTGGTAAAGATATCAACAGTGTTCTCCTGAGAGGCCACGTAAGCAAGGCGCAGCTGACCACGCTGCAGCTCACGAGCAAGGAAGTAGCGAAGAGCAATGTGCTTCGTTCTGTGCTCTCGACACAAGGCCAGCATGGCCTTGTTGTCTACGTACAGAACTGGAGGAGAACGAGGCGGCTCTCCCAGGTCGGTCAACAGGTAGGTGACCCAGTGTAACTCCTGTACAGCCATGGCCCCTGCGTAGATCTCGGCCTCACAGCTGGAGCCGAGAACCGAGGACGAGCGGGTAGACCGCCAAGAAACAGAGCCGGAACCAAGAATGAAGGTGTAACTCTGTGACGACCGCTGCGTAGCCAAGTCGTCAGCCCAAGAAGCGTCTGCGTGACCAGTCAGGACCACTGAACTCCGCCCTCCAAGCAGGAGCCCCATGCCCAACGTACTGCACAAGTAGCGCAACACCCTCTTCGCTGCAGCCATGTGCTCTGGTCGGTGTCTCCCAGGAGCAACATAGCGTGTTAAGATGCTAAGAGGGTATGCTAGGCCAGAAAGAGTGCAGGTCATCAGGTACATGAGGCAGCCAACAAGCTCTGGGTACGGGCCACTCGGCTCTACGGACTCATCCGAAGGCAGAGCTGAGAGCGAGTGGCGAGTAGGAGGAGTGGCCTGAGGCTGTGAGAGTACGACGGCTTATGCCAGCTATGCTTGCTTGCCTCTACTTTATCATGCTATTTCTAGCATAGGATAATCATATGCATGCATGAATTGCTTGATTTCCTAGGCTAGGTGCTTTCCTATATTTTATTATAGTTATAGCACCGAGCTAGGTTGCGTGCACCGAATTCTGGCTTTTCGGTTGCCACCGAATTGCCTTCTACCGAATTCGGTAAGGATCTGTTCGGGACGCTTCGCGACCCGCGGAACCTTCGCGTAACACCTGGTTACGGGGCCTTGTGTCGAGCCTATATATAGCCTCGTGTTGTACCCAGGTGGACATTCAATTCAATTTGAATCATCTTTTCTGAGCTCGATCCCAGATCCTCACACTTGGTAATCAGAGCGGGTTTACACGCGATGTCTTCAACCGCTTAGTACCGGCCTTTAAAAACCGCGGAGGCGACGACAAAAGCGCCGATACGGGTATGTAAAACCAGTTCCGCGCAATTTTTCGAAGTCCCCCTCGATTCGGTTTTCGAACACCCCTCAGATTTACTGGTGG